TGATGGTGGTGATGGTGGTGGTGATGGTGGTGATGATGTGGTGGTGATGGTGGTGATGGTGGTGATGATGATGGTGGCGATGATGAGGTGATGGTGATAGTGATGACAATGATGATGACAGTGTAGCTCTTAGGAGACACCGTAGCCGTTAGCTTCCTATGGACTGGAGGCTTTTCCTCTGGAGGAGGGGCTGGCAGACTTCTCTGTAAATATTTCAGGCTGTCCAGGCCACACGGCCTCTGTCACCACCGCTCGGCATGAAAGCAGCTCGGCCAGGACGTGCAGTGGCCGTGGCCATGGCCAGTGACACCGAGAACAAGGCGGGCCTGGCCTTGGGCCTCGTTGGCTGAGTCCTGCCTGAGATCAGCCTCCTGTGATTCCAGTACGTCAGAGCTCTGAGGTCCCCCATGTGACCTGGTCCAGAATACACCCGGCTTAACTAGAAATTCAGACAGCAGAGAGGAAGCTCCCAACAAAACGATAAACTGTGCCCCAGACGTGTTTGTTCTGTTCTCAGTTTTGTTTTTGGTGGATGCGTGTGTGTCTTGGCCAGATGCTCTTCTCGGAAGACTAGCCCATAAAAGTCCGTTTAACTCATATTACCGAGTGTTTGAAATAAACAAGAAACCCTTCCCTGTGAGACTGGCCGGTCTGTTCAACTTCCGGATTGTCACAGGTGGATCTGCGGTCCTCCTGTGCTGGCCCAGGTCATGGATGTGGGGACTGGCCTGCTCGAGGCCAGCAGGACGTCTGCTGGCCGTGTGCTTGGATGTCACTGTTGTGTCAACTGCTGTCAAGGGTCTGGACGCTCGTGCCTGTGCTCACCTTGTCGTGGGCCGGCAATGTGTGGATGTCACATGGGGCAGCTGCCCTAGGCCAAGGGTCACGGGCTAGGAGCCTTATGGGACAGGGGGGCATGTGGGGGGCACTTGGGGGTCGGGATGTCGGAGTCGTTGCCCGTCTCCTGCATGCTCCCGGGTCTCCCCCGTGGCCCTGTGGCCCCTCCTGCAGCTCAGCTCTAGGCACTTGGGTGCAGCTCCGGAGGGATGGTTTGGCCTCCCAGAGGGAGCCTGTCAGGAACCCCCTTGCTGCGCGCATCATTCATTCATTCATTCATTCTGCAGACACTGTCGGTGTCTCACGTGCGAGTGCTCTTTAGGCCTGGGAACGGAGCTATGAACAGACGGGAGCATCCCTGCCTCGGGAGCTGATGTGTTCGTGGGGAAGACCGAGCAGAAAGGAGGGGGAGGGCTGGCTGAGGCTGGGGAGCCCTAACTGAAGGCAGGGGTCAGGGAAGGAGGCCTCGCTGAGAAGCTGACACTGGAGTCGAAACCTGAAGGAAGCTCGAGGGCCAGGCATGGGGAAATCTGGCTAAGAGTGTTCCAGGCAGAGGGAACAGCACGTGCAAAGGCCCTGAAGGGGGAGCTTTCTTGACCGTAGCCCCCCACTCCAGGAGGGACCCACGAGTCCAAGGTCCCGGAATGAACTGAATTCTTTGCTTGCCGTGTGCAACTCCAGAACTTTCCTCAGCTCCTTCTGAGGCCGTGAGGAGCCCCCTCCTCCCACCCCAGCCCCTGCTCAGACATCCCCCGGAATCCAGGTCCAGCGTGTGACTCGAGGCCCAGACGCCCAAGCCCCTCTGTCCTTGTGACCCCACAGGACCCAGCCAGGGAGGCGCCAGCTGGGGTTCCTTCCTGGGTAAACTGCTTTTCCTCAGCTGCCTGTCACCTTCGGGGGCAGCTTTAAGGGTGTAATTTATCAGCAGACCCCAATTTCCATCTTCGAGGAAGAGACGCAGAGGCCGAGAGGGGCTCTCGCTTGGGGACACTTCTCCCCTCCTCGTCCGAGCAGCAGTTCTGGAAACACGTGCGGAGGGCGGGTGGCCTCTGCTCCCAGGCTGGGTTTGCTGCCGCCGCTGTGGGGTAGGCTCGGAACCTGCAGCCTGCCCCGTCCCTGTCCCTCCACGGAAATCAGCTCAGCCTCTTTCTTGCGTCTCAGAACCTTCCCCCTTTTTGCTCTGTGACTTGGGCAAGTCACTTACCCTCTCTGTGCCTCTGATTTCTCACTTTTGTGTGGGGGCTACCCATAAAACCCACCTTGTGGGGTTGCTAGAGGGATTAAATTAATATATATGAAGTATTCAGTGGCAGGCGCACACAGTGGGCAATTTACGAACGTTGGATATTGTCGTTATTTGTATTGTAATTGGTGTTCTGTTAACACGTGGAGAGTTCTCAGGCTCCGAGAGGTGGTTGGGAGGTTTCCGAACTGAGTGCCTCGTGCCTTCAGGCTCATGCGACCACCCTGGGCCCCACCTTGAGTCAGTTTCTCTCTGGGGGCCTCCCCAGTTCTTGCCTTCCCGTGCAGCTGCCCGGCGCCCCCCTGGGGGAGATCGGTGTGGGCCCCATGGAAATAGCTCCCAGGATGCCTCTTGGAGGGACTCTGCTCACGGGCTCATCCCGCTCGGCTCCTGCACGGGGACCTGCGGCCAGAGCACTGGTGCAATGCCGCCCCACGCCCCGCGGGCCGCGCCTGAGCCTCTTGCCTCCTGGCCGTAGTGGCGCCGTCCCGCGAGGACTGTGGGGACCACGCCGTCTGCTTCTCCGCCCTGTGCCCGTTCTGCTTTTGTGCAGAAGAGGTGGCAGAGGAGATCTCTCCCGGGTCTGTGGGCTCTGCTGGCTTCTCCATGCCCCACGCGCACGTGCGCAGATCACGGCCTGGCCGCCCCGCGTGGCCCCCCCGTCTGCGAGCACCTGGTGCCCCTGGGTTGGGGAGGCCTAGCCCTTCTCTGCCGTCTGGAAGCTGCCCTTGGCCCCGGGGGTCCTTTGGAGAGCTAAGGGGGTCCGTGTAGCAGGCGTGGAGGGCTCCTTCCCCCTGGGTCAGGCACCCATTGCAAAGGTGAGGAAACTGAGGCGGAGGGTTTGCGTGATGGGCAGGTCCGGCCGGAGGCCGTGCAGCTTTTCTTTCCGTGCTGGGCACCCAGGAAGGCCGTTCCCTCAGCGCTTGCAGCGTCTGAGGTGGATGGGGCCACTTCTGCATCCTTGCCAGCCTCTGGCCCCCCGGCCTCTAACGGGCTTGTTTTGGGGGGGTCTGAAGCCGATACGCACGCTTTCCTGGTGTCGTCTGATTCTCTGTGCAGAAATAACTGCTTCAAAAAAAAAAAAAAAAAAGCCAGACAGCCAGAGAATGACGAGATGCTTGCGGGAGAAGAAAGACAGCGTCGGGAGGGTGCGTGGCCTGCAGCGTGCTCTCTCCTGAGCCTCCTGTGTCGGACATTGCCGATCGGCTGACGCGCTGTGACGAATGTGGGATCGGTACCGCGTGAGCCTGTCCTGTTTTCTCTGTGGAAGACTTTCTCTGTTTTCAAACATCCTGGTGTTTCTGAGTCTGGCTGTAGTGGACAGTCGGGCTGCATCTGATGTGTTAACGCGGAGCGTTTCCTGGGCGGTGACGGTGACAGGTGGCATTTTGTTAGGGGGGTTTGCCTGGAGTGCATCCCTCTGATCAAGAGCTGTGGTCACGGATGTGACGTGCCTGCCTCGGTTTCTCCTTTGTTTTGGAACGTGGGCCTTGGGTCTCACAGACCAGCAGTGTTGGCTGCATCCTCACCCCGCCCAGCATGGGCCGTCCCACGTGGACACTTGGTCACTTAGTGTTTTGGTGGATGTACCACCTGTGCTGTTTTCCCAGTTGTCTCAGCCGACACGCAGCCCAGGGGTCTCATCTGGATGGTGGTTGTGATCGCTGGTGCCGCGGGGCTGTGGGAGGCCATGCGGGCAGGACCGCGGGAGGCCCTGAGCGCCCTTCAGCTGTGTCATCCCTGCTCAGCAGCGATGGCCCCAGGGAGGTCCCAGCACGTGGCCTGTGGCCCGGGGCAGGAGCAGTGCTGGGCGGGGCTCTCGGCTCTGCCCGCGGTGGCTGTGGCTGTCCTGTGTCACACGTGTCCCTCATGTCTGTCCTCTCGCCACAGGACGTCGGGCTGCTCGAGTACCAGCACCACCCCCGCGACTACGCCTCGCACCTGTCGCCCGGCTCCATCATCCAGCCCCAGAGGAGAAGGCCGTCCCTGCTGTCCGAATTTCAGCCCGGGAATGAGAGGTGAGCGGCCAGCCTGCTGCCTGGCTCAGCACCCGGAGCCGTTTCTCAGACGGGGAAGTGGAGGCTGGGAGGGGCAGGAGCCTGCAGGGCGGGGGTGTCCAAGGAGGGGGTGTCGGGCTGGGTGCTTGCCCTTGTCCTGGGGCGGCCGTGACGGGGATGAGGATGGGGATGAACAGGGAAGAGAGACGTGGCCCGCGGACCTCCCACCATGGGCCTCCAGTGGTCCCCGGGGGTGTGGTCCATGCAGGAGGGGGGCCACCAAGATGTGAGGGAGCGGGGTATGTCTTCACCTGGGGGCACACGGGGAGCCACCTTCTGTCCCTCCCGTGTCCTTGCCTTTTCTGCGAGTCCTCTTTCTGTCCCTCCGCTGGCAGACGGGGCCTCTGTGTCCTCCCGCTCTGGGCCAGCCTAGCTATCCTTCAACCCCGATGTGAGGGCTGAGCCTGCGTGGCCGTGTGGGGGCCCCAGTGAGGGGAGGGCCGAGGTCGGGAGAGCATGAGCACCAGTTCTGAGAGTCCGGAGCACGTGGCATGTGTCGGCACGTTCTGGGCCCTGGGCGCACAGCGGGACCTGGACAGATGGCCCCGTGCGGAGCCCACAGTCCGTCAGGGAGCCACACCACAGACACACACACGGTGACTCCAGAACGAGCTGGTACTTGTTGCCTCCAGCACGGGGAGGGGTCACTCTCTGGCTGGGTGGCCAGGAGAGGCCTCATGTTTTCTCACTGGGACTAGAACTCCAGAGACCAGGCCCAGGCATTTGCGGCGCCACCTTCCCCCAGAGGTGTCTGGTGGCCACGGCGGGGAGGCTGCTGCCGAGGGCCAGGCCGTGATGCCCCGGAGCAGGTGGACTCGAGTGGGCGGAGGCGTCGGAGGTGAAGGCCGATGCCCCAGGCAGCATGCTCCCGGCGCCCGTGTTGGTGTCCTGGGGCGGCCGTAACAGGGCACCCCAACGTCGGGGGCCTAAAACAGCAGAGCTGTCTTCTCTCGGGTCCTGGGGGCCCGCGGTCTGAAGCGGAGATGCCGCAGGTGGGGTCGCGCTCCGGCCGCGGGCTCCAGGGGACGGTCTCTTTTTTGCCTCCTCCAGCTCTGGAGGCCCCGGGGGTCCTGGGCTCGTGTCCGCATCGCTCCCGCCTCTGCCTCTGTCCCTGAGCGTCTGAGTGTCCTCTGCTCTAAGAAGGACGCCTGCCATTGCATTAGGGCCTGGCTCCATCCAGGATGATCTTCTCTTGGCTTCATTACACCCACAAGGACCGTATCCCCAAATAGCATCACATTCGGAGGCTCCGAGTGGACATGAATTTTGGGGGACACTAGTCAACTCTGCACAACACCTTTCTCACGTTTAACTGAGAAACCCCATGCCTCCCGCCCGGCCCTGGGCCTCGTGCGGTGTTGGCTCTGCGGTTGGCAGGAGGGGCATCTTGCAACCTGGCTTTGGCAGGGGAAGGGCTGGGGGCCCTGCAGCGGGGAGAGCACAGGGGGCGGCCGGCCCGCCTGGCAAAGCCAGCAGCGCAGCCAGCCCACGAGGTGCCGGCAGCCTTTATTCAGGCTGCACGCACTGAGCGTACACTAGCTGTGTGCCAGGCACCGGGGTACCACAGTGAGCAAGACGGATGAACGTTCCTGCCCTCCTGGAGTGGACATTCTGGGGCTAGGGGGCAGCCAGCAAACTCACCTGAACTGATAGGCATGTGGTGGGGTCTGTGAAGGAAACAGAGCAGGGGTGAGATGGGCTGTGGCTGGTGGGCAGGGAGTGCTGTGTGCCTCGAGACACGTGGGAGCAGACATAGCATGGGAGGAGCTAGTGTGCAAGTGATCTAGCTAGACACCCAGCATGTGCAAAGGCCCTGAGGCAGGAATGCAGTGGGCCAGACGAAGCAGGGTGAAGGTAATGGGTCTGTAGGATTCTATTCTAAGTTTATTGGGAAAAGCATCAGCTTGAAAAGTGGTTCAGCAGGGCAGTGTGTGGGCTGCTGGGTCAGGAGCAGTAGCTGACGGTGGAGGCCAGGAGTCCTGGCTCTGCTGTGTGTGCTCAGGCAGGGCCATGTCGTCTCTGGGCCAGTTTTCTCCTCTGCATACTGGGGAGGAGGGTTAAGGAGAGCCAGGCGGGAGGGCTTAGGCTGGAGAGTTCCTGTGAGAAGGAGGTGAGGCCAGGTTTAGCAGCAGGAGTGCTGTGATCGGCTAGTGATGTCTGTCCTGGTGGGTGATGTGCAGGTAGTGTCCTGTGTGTGATCATCTGTGTGAGACCCACAGCGCTTTTCAGACTTGACTGTGCCCATGACTTACCTGGGGTCTTGTTTGAGTGCAGAGTCCGACTCAGGAGGCCTGGGGTGGGACTCGAGATTCTGCATTTCTAACCAGCTCCGGGGGGCTCATGCTGCTGGTCCTTGGGCCACACTCGGGTGGGGGAGGGGGCGTCTCCAGCACATTCTCGCCCTGCAGACGTCGTCAGCAGACGTCCACTCGGAGGAAGACAGGGGTGGTGGGCCTGCCTCGCCGTGCGCCTGGGGCAGGGGGCTCTGCTCTCGCAGGGTCAGAGCGGGCATGGGCGCAGCAGGCCCAGCCGGGTGGGTAGGAGGCGTGACGCCCAGTGCCCTTGCCTCCTGCAGGTCCCAGGAGCTGCACCTGCGCCCCGAGTCCCACTCGTACCTGCCCGAGCTGGGCAAGTCGGAGATGGAGTTCATCGAGAGCAAGCGCCCGCGGCTGGAGCTGCTGCCCGACCCGCTGCTGCGGCCCTCAGCGCTGTTGGCTGCGGGCCAGCCCGGGGGCTCCGAGGATCTGTCCACGGTAAGGCCTGGCCCCCGCCGGGGCTCCTGCGGGCTCGGGTTCTGCCGTGGTCGGGCTGGGCACGAGGGGAGGGGGTGGCTGTGCCGGGCCCGGGACAGGGTGTGCGGAGGCCGGGCCGAGGCCGGGCAGCGAGAGGAGGGGCTGGGCTGAGGCTGGAGAGGGTCGGCTTCCACCTGAGTGTGTCCAGCCCGAGAGGCCACCGCAGCCCAGGGCCCGAGAGGGCCTTTATTTCGCTCCTCTGTGAAACACAAGGTTGAGCTGAGATGGGGGAGAATGTGCATAGCTTAAGCACCTGTGGTTTGCTTCTGTGGGAGGGTTTCTGCCGTTTCAGTAAACCTGAGCGCAGGCCAAGCTCGCTGGCTGCGTTTCCACGGAGGGGGCCCACTGAGGCGCTGACTGGGGAAGCGCAGCCAGTGGTCTGGGTGCTCCTGTCCCCCGGGGTACCCTGACTATCTCAGAAGCTGCGTGTCACTGTCGCTGTCTGGGGTGGGGCGGGCACGGGGCCAGGTGACACGCTCGTCCTGGGCCGCCGCTGCGTGATGGGTGCCCCTCGCTTGCACGTGCTTCTTCACGACCCGTTAGGCTCGTTGGCGGCCTCCCAGCTGCTGGGCAAGGTTGACGCTCATCTTACTGCAGCACTGGAGGCAGGACTGGGGGCCAGGCCAGGGGAGGGAAGTGGCCCACTCGGGCCTGCTGGATCCTCTTCTCTGCCTGACGCCAGGTGGGGTGGAATGGCGGGATTTCCGGCCGAGGCGGGTGCTTAGTTGGGGGCTGGCATGAAAGGGGCCTTCCCGTGGTGGTGGTGACCACAGTTGATGTTAGGCGAGTGCTGACCATGTGTGCCAGGTGCTGTGTGGAACACGAGTGTCTTTCTGCTGTGTCCTCCTGGCCCGATAAAGCCCGGTCTTTGTCCTCTTTTTAGAGGCCCGGGCTGAGAGAGCAAGAACCACTGGAAGTGGGGGGCGGGCGCTGAGGCCTGGCTCTGCAGCCCTGCCCAGTGGGCGGTCCAGGCGGCCCTCCCCTGCCGTCTCCCTCCCCCGGGCCCGGCTGCCTCCTGCTGTCTCCTGCTGCTCGGCCTGCTGGGAGGGACAGTGCCATTTGAGAAGCTGTCCCTGCAGGGGTCTTGGATGGATGGGGAAGGGGTGCGTGTGAAGGGGTGCGGGGCCACGCCGAGGGCCGGCCGGGGCCTGGTTTACCCCCAGGACCGGAGCCCCTTGTCAGCTGAACCCCGGGCTCAGGTGGGGTTCTCCCCAGAGGGGCGTCGCTGGCCAGCCCGCGTCAGGCTCTCCTGCCCCAGGCTGCTCTCCAGGACGGGGCTCGGGCCTCCTTCTGGGGGTCTCTGTGCCTCACGGGGGCTCTGTGCCTCCTCCTTGTCCCGCTCCCGCTGTGCAACCTGGGAGCTCCCTCTTCCTCTGGGGTCTGTCTGTCTCTCTTTCTCTCTCTCTGTCTCCATGTCTGTCCGTCTGTCTGTCTCTGCTCTTGCTGGACCTCGGGGGTGTGGGGGACCCTGGGCACGGGCCTGGACCGTGTCCTGTAGTTGCATTGGGAAAGTTGGAGCAGGTTTTGGGTGGGGAGAAGCCGGGGGAGAAACAGCTCTGACAGTGTGGAGGTGGTTTTGCGTTGCTGTGTGGAATTCAGCTGGACAGAGAGACAGGAATTCAGTGGGATTTTTTTACCATGCCCCCTGCCCCCAGCTGTGTTCGTTTTTCATGTAAAAATGTTACTCTTTCTTATGTTACTTCCTTGCCCTTGAGCCTCTGGGGTCCTGTGGCATCTGAGGTTCCCTTTGGAATTCACCAAACTTTGTTTTAGGGGACTTTGGAATCATCACAAACAGCACCATGTCTGAAAGCCCCTTTGTTGGCTGAAAGGGATAGAAAGCTTATGTCAGACTGGCTTAAGCGTGAGTTCTGGCTCATATAGCTGAGATATAGGGGTGATTGGTTTCAGGCATAGCTTGATCCAGGTGACATGATGTCATCAGGTCCCCATCTCTGTCCACCTTGGCTCTGCCGTCTTCCTTGTGGTCTTGGTGGGTTAACGAGGAGGCTTTCAAGACTCCAGGGCTGCCTCTTCCCACGTTCAAAGCCAGCAAAAAGAGAGCTTTCCCTCTGTTTCCACATTTCTAGCCCAAAGCTGTTTTCCTCTTTGGCTTTGAGTGGGGCCTGTGCTGTCCCAGGGCCTGTCGTTGGGACTGAGGGAGTGGACTGGGAGTGCTGGAGGCTGGCCCTGCCCCTTCCTGGAGTGGGGGCTGGGCGGCTGGGGGAGCCTTGGGGAGCCTCCCCAGCCCACACTTCTGCTGCCTGCTTTTAGTTTTGCATAAGGAGTCTTTCTCTGCTCTGCGCTGAGTTTACACCGAGGGCGTCTGATGGGGAGAACGGTGCCAACCGCTACCTGGCGGCAGGCGGGTGTCGGTTAGTTGGTTTCCTGCTGCGGGTTTGGGCTGAAGTGAAGGCCAGCAGCCACCGGGCGAACCGTCTGGAGGCCCAGTGGCTCCCCGGCCTCTTTCCTGGGAACTCGGCGCCCGAGAGTGCGCTCTGCCCTCCGGGTGTGTGTGCAGCTTCCTCCTCAGTTGACGTGAAATTCGCGTGAAGTAACCACATGAAGCTGCGCCGTTCAGTGTGTTTGGCACATTCACGATGTGCAACCACCACCTCTCCTAGTTCCAGAACATTCTCCTCACCCACCGGAGACCCTGTCCCCATCAGCAGTCACTCCCCATCTCTTCTTCCAGCCCCTGGAACCACCCGTCAGCTCTGTCTGTGGAGCTGCCTCCCCTGGACGTTTCCTGTGAACGGGGTCGACGACGTGTGGTGGCCTGTGGTGACTGGTGTCTCTGCTCTGTGTCGCATCTTAAGGGTCGTCTTAACATGGCATGGGAGGGGTTGTCTGATTTCAGCTGGTACAGACGTGGAGTCGGGCACCCAGGCAGAGGGGACAGCTCGTGCAAAGGCCCGGCGGTGTCAGAGCGTGCAAGGTCAGGTGTCTGCAGCCCCTGTGTCCACCATCTCTACCTGCCCCCTGGGGAGCAGTTTGGGCCCCACACTGACACACATACACACTCCCGAGTATTTTTTAGGGAACTTTTCTTGCACACACAGTTTTGTTTCTCATTTCCGGGGCTCCTGGACCCTGGAGGGGGTCTCGTTCTTGCTCTTCTGTCCGGCTGTGCGGTCCTGTGGGATGCATGGGTGCACGGCCTGGACCTGTTTCTGCTGTGGGAGCCCCTGCCGCCCGCTCTCGTGCTCTGCTGCCTCTGGAGAGTTCAGATGGAGGCCTGGACCCCCTCTCGTGTGCCCTCCAAGCCAGGGTTCCGTCGCTTTGTGGCTGGTGTTTGGGCACGTTGTTGAACCTCCCTGGCCTTAGTTTCCTCATCTGGAAAGTGAGGGGAAGAGTGTTCCCACCTCCCAGGGTGTTTGTGACGATTATGTGAGTTGAGACCTGTGAATTGCTTAGGTCGACAGACTCGGCCCTCAGCCTGTGTTTGTAAATAAAGTTTTATTGGCACACGGCCACTCCCATTTGTGTCCTGTCTCCGGCCGCTTTCCCAGTGCGATGGCGGGTGAGTAGCTGGACAGAGACGGAAGTGCGAAGACTGAAACGTTTTTCCACCTACGGAAAAAAGGCCCCTGGCTTAGAGCAGTGGTGGGCGTGTGCCTCCAGTTCTCAGTTTTCCCACGTGCGCAGTGGGGATGGAGCAGCAGCCCATAGTAGGGCTGCATGGGGGTCTGGAGCGGGTGGGGTGTGCTGGGGCCTGGGATGGGCTGAGCGATGAGTGGTGCCTGGTTTAATTTTTGGGATGTCCCTGTGGAAGGTGGTCTGAGCAGCACAGAGGCCATGTCCGGGACTCGAGGCCTTGTCTGCAACCCCTGAGGGTCCTGGGTGTGGAAGGGCCTGGAGTCCCGGCTGCAGCTCTCCCGTGTCTCAGATGTGAGCGCTGAGGCCGGGAGGCAGACCCTTGGGGCTGTGGGCCTGAGGGGTCTGCAGGTGTGGGGAGGACAGACGACAGCGTGGCCTCCACTGGTCTCGAGGAGGGGGCCCTTGGCAGCGCCCGGAGCTGCAGTTGTCCAGGGAATAATGTGTCCTCTGTCCCGGGTGCAGCTGCTGCGGGGGCAGGGCGGCGGCCTGGAGCTCCCCTGGGCCCCCTCTGCCAGCAGCTGCCGGCTTGGCCTTGAGGATGGCGAGGCGCGGGGGCTGGGTTCTGCCCGCGCTGCCAGGCCTGGAGCTGGGCTCTGGGCGGGTCCATCCAGCCAGTGCTTGGGGAGTGCACAGCGTGCCAGCTCTGAGCTGCATTCTTGGCTCCTGGTAACTCACTAAGCCTCACGGCAGCTTGGGAGGTGGGAATTGCCCCATCATACAGATGGGGAAACTGAGGCAGAGAGTGGTTTCATGATCCGCTTGTGGTCACGGAGCTGGCAGGTGGCAGAGTGGGCGGGGGGCTGCGCCCAGGGCCGTGCCGGTCTGTGCTCCAGAAGCGGGAACTGGGGTGTTTCCTGCGTCTCCCCAGTGTGTCCCCAAGGCAGTTGTGCCCTCAGAGCTGTGGCCGTGGGCTGGAGGAGGCGGTGAGCAGCCCAGTGAAGGGTGGGCCCTTTGTTTGTTTGACACGTTCTGAAAACAGCTTCATTACACAGAGGAAAGCCCAGAGAGTACAGAGCAGAAAGCGACGTTACCCCTCCCGCTGCCCGGACAGCCACTCTGACACGGGCGCCCGTTCTCGTGGTTTCCTGGGCGCTTGTGGACACGTGTGTTTTCTGCAAACCCCCTTTGCGCTGTGCACGCTCTCCTGTAACTTGCCGGTTTGGACTGAATGCTGTGAATAAATGTTTTTGGAGGGTCAGCTGAGGCCAGGCCCTGGGGGGACGGAGGTTGGGGGTCTGGGCGCCTGTTCCTAGGGAGTTGGTTTGGCGGGAGGACCCAGACGGGGTGCGTGGAGCGAAAGAGAGGCTTGACGTGGGGAAGGGAGGAGGGCGGGCTTTGTGCCTGGAGGGGGTGGGAGATGTCGCTGGAGGACAGAAGGGGTCTGGCCTTGGAGCACCGGTGACGGGCTGGGAAGGGTGTACCTGGCGGGAGGCCGGGAGGTGGGGTGGAGACGTGGGGTCGCCACACAGACTAGAGTCAGGGCTGGGATCCTGGGTGTATGGGGGGCTGCGGGCGGAGGTGCCCCGTGCCAACCCCAGGCCTGTTTTCTCTCTGCCCAGGACCGCAGCCTGACGGGCAAGCTGGAGCCGGTGTCCCCTCCCAGCCCCCCGCACGCTGACCCCGAGCTGGAGCTGGCGCCTCCGCGGCTCTCCAAGGAGGAGCTGATCCAGAACATGGACCGCGTGGACCGCGAGATCACCGTGGTGGAGCAGCAGATCTCCAAGCTGAAGAAGAAGCAGGTGCGGGCTCTGAGCTCCGGGCCGGCGCAGGGACAGCCCCGCGTGGCAGCCAGGCGGGGGGTGGCTCAGGGCTCCTTCCTGCCCCTTCTTCCTCCGTGCCTCGCTCTCCTCGTCCGTGACGCGGCGAGGCCTCTGTCGACGGGCCGGCTGCTCGCCCCGCCTTGGACCAGGCCCCTCGCCCCGCCTTGGACCACGCCCCTCGGGGCCTCTGCTTGCTCATCTGTAAGATGGGTGCAGACAGGATGCCACCTCACGGGGTGTGAGGGGGGACCAGGTCACGTGGTGAAAAATGAATCCTCGTTGTGACCGTCGAAACCAAAGTAACAGTTAATGTAACTGTTTCTAATATTAATTTTATAGTTTTATTTTTAACGTGAGCTGATGGTCCGCGTTTTCCCAGCTCTGCTCAGGCTCTCTTCCCTGCCATTGTGGGGTCTCTGCTCAGATGTCCCCTCCAGAGAGATGGCACCCTGCTCTTTTACAGGCGCCCTGCCCGGCTGTCCTGCATCCTGGGGGTCAGCGGTCCAGCCAGGTCCGGCTCGCTGCCTGTCTCTGTGAATAAAGGCTTGCTGGCGCACGGCCACGTCCGCGCTCTCTGTGGCTGCCTTCCCGCCACAATGGCAGAGTCAGTTGGTCACAGCAGAGCCAAACATCTTACTCCCTGGGCCCAGGAAGGCCATGCCGCCTCGGGCAGCGCCGTTTGCATTAATTCGGGTCCTGCTGTGGCCAGTCTTGTCCCCACCCCATCGGAGTGGGGTCCCGGCTCCCTCCTCACTGCCCTGCTCCCCGGGCCAGTAAGGAAGTGTGGGCTCTGTGTCCTCAAGGGCCCGCCGTGGCCACCGGGCACCACAGAGTGACAGCTGGGGACCAAGCCTTCCTGGAAGCCAGTGCTGGGTCCCAGGAACGGGTCTGGGAAGACGTACGGGGATGGACGGTCCAGACTCTAGGAGGGGTCGGGACTGTCCCTTGCAGGGAGGAGCTGGGCCGGTCAGTGAGGCTCAGCCAGCCGTCCCAGCCTTGGGGGCCGCCAGTGGGTTCCAGGATGGCGGTGCAGTGTCCTGGGAGAGCCTGGGCCCCGGCTGGGGTCAGGCCGGCGTGGCCAAGGCCGTGGGCGCACGGGCGTCTTCCGTTCCTCCTGCCCGGCTCTGGGAGGAGGCTGAAGCTACAGGTTGCGTGTGCCCGTCTGTGACGCGGCCGGACGTCAGGTGGCCGGGACAGCCCTGGAGAAGCAGGTTTTTTTAAAATTCCACTTTGGCGTTTTTCTTGAGCTAAAATACACAAAACGTAAAATTACCCGTTTTAAAGTGTGTAGCTCAGTGGTGTTTAGCATATCCACAGCATGGTGTCACCATCACCACTATCTAGTTCCAAGACATTTTTGTCACCCCAGAAGGAGACCCTGTACCTGTTAGTAGTCGCTCCCCACCCTGCCGCCAGCCGCGGTCTGCTCTCTGTCTCGCGTGCACCTGTCCTGGACGCTTCGCCTCTGTGGAACGCGCAGCTCGTGGCCTCTTTGTGGGCTTCTCGCCCTCGGCATGGCGCCCTCGTGGCCCCTCTGGGCTGTGGCAGTGGCAGTGCCTGTTCCTTTTCATGGCTGAGTTGTATTCCGCGGGACGGGTGGACCCCGTTGTGTCCCTCCGGTCAGCTGTTGAGGACACTGCGTTGTCCCCACCTTCGGCTGCTGTGACGGTGCTGCCCTGAAGAGTCGTGTTCAGGTTTTCCTTTGAGCACCTGTTTCAGTTCTTTTGGGTCTGTACCTGGGGCGGAACTGCTGGTCACGGGGTAACTCTGGGGGGACCCGCCAGGCCGTTCCCCCAGCAGCTGCACCGTCTCGTGTTGCCCCCAGCCGGTTACGGCGTCCCCGTTCCTCCATGTCCTCGCCAACCCTGTCATTTCGCTTTTCTTCCGTCGCAGCCGTCCTGGGGGAGGGAGCGGTGTCTCGCTGGGTGCGATTTGCGGCCGAAGGCCAGTTTTGATCCAGTGTGCGCTCTGGCCCCTCCTCTCCTCTGACCCCAGAACAGCTGTAGGTGGCAGCCCTGGTTCTCTGCTTTCTCTGAGCAGGACACTGAGGGTCAGAGAGGTTGAGCGACCTGCTCAAGGTCACAGGCTGGCGAGCGATGGAGCCGGGCTGTAATCCGGGCTGGGCCAGGCTCTCGGCAGTGTCTCTGGACGTGTCTCAGGTGGCATTTTTCTTTGCTGCCCCAGGAGGGGCACCGTCACCATTGGGGAGCGCTCCCTGCCCTCCGCCTCGCTGGCTCTGTCCATCCTCCGTTTCTTGGCTTCGTTTGATCCGCACGTTTTGGAGGGATTTCAGAGCTTTGCCGGTGCTGGCTGCCCTTCTGGGAGCTTCCGCCGGGGGTCGCTGTGGGGCCCAGCAGCTGGGCCTCCGTGCCGCAGGAGCCAGGATCTGGTTTTCTGGGTCTTTCCGCGTTGCCCTCCTCTTGGCCGCCTCTGGGTTCCTGATGCTTCGCTCTGTGGTCCTGGGCGGCTGCATGAGCGCGACAAGCAGGGCACAGTGTTCTGGTCTCACCCAGGATGCCTGTCAGACCGCGGACCTGGGCATTGGTCTCCTGTGTGACCTTGGGCCAGCGTCTCAAGCTCTCTGGTCTTTACTTTCCACTTTTGGTATAAAGCAGACAGCAGGATGAAGGGACGTCCTTTATGGGTTTGCAGGAGGAGGGCCCGGCATGAACTCACAGTGCAGATGGCGAGGACGATGATGCAAACTGCTTGCTAGGTGCTGACAGCTTTACATGCCTCAGCTCGGTCATTCCTCACGCCAGCTCTCTAGCGTAGAGACTTTATCCACGTTTTCCAGATGAGGACAGAAGGCTCAGAGAAGTGTAGCAACTTCCCAGGGTCACACAGCAAGTAGAAACTGGGTCCCAGTCTGGACAGTTGGGCTCCAGGGTCCGCACGGCGTCTCCTGACGTGCCGGTCCGGTGGTGGTGGTGATGGATGACGGCGGCCGGCTCGCTGTGAGCCCAGTCTGAGCTGGACGGGCGTCAACTCGGCCTCTCCTCACCCACCCTGTTGGGGAGACACGCCCTGTTTTGCAGATGGGGAAACTGAGGCGCAGTCGGTTAGGCTGCCTGCTTGTGCTCACCGGGGCGGGATTTGAACCCCGGGGGCCTGGCTGCCAAGCCTGAGGCGGGAGCCGTCCTCGCTGGAGTCCCCGGTGACTCAGAGGAAACGGCTAGCAGCCTGACTTCCTGTGCGCGGCCGCCCACCGCCGTGGGGCCGCCTCCTCCTTCCGCCCGCTGCTCACCACGCTCTCCCCCTTCCCGCAGCAACAGCTGGAGGAGGAGGCCGCCAAGCCGCCCGAGCCCGAGCAGCCGGTGTCGCCGCCGCCCCTGGAGTCCAAGCACCGCAGCCTGGTACAGATCATCTACGACGAGAACCGGGTACGCCGCCCGAGCCCGCGGGCCCCTGGGAGGCCGTGTCCCCTGCAGGGCCGGCTGTCCCGGGGCCTCCGCCTGCCCGCTGAGCCGTGGGCATCTCCGTGCACCGCCCCCACCCACGGAGACCTGGGGGTGTGAGGCCGGGAGGGGTAGCCAGGGTGTGGCTGTGGCCGTCCTGCTCGGACGTGTGGCCTGGTGGCCGGTGGCTGGCCGGGGGTGCAGCCTGGAAGTGTGGGCCTCGGGCGGTGGGAGGGCTGCAGGGGCCTGTGGCCGGGGAGCTGGGCAGTCACCGAGGCATTCGTGCTGAAGGCAGTGTGACGTTACTATTACCAAAGACAACAGCAGCTGTCAGTGAACAGCTCCTCCTCCTTGTGCGCTGGGCCAGGTTCCTCACGTAGCAGTTGAAGGAGGGTAGGTACAGTAATCGTCTCCATTTGATACCCGGGAGAAACTGAGGCCCCAGAGAGGTTAAGTGACTTATCCGGAGTCACACAGCTAGGAAGTGGTGGATCTGGGATTTCAACCCATGGGAATCCAGGGTCTGATTCGTCAGCACTGGCCTCTGCTGACATGTAGCCCCGAAAGGGCCTTGGGATGGTTGAACACAGGGTCTGTGGTGGGCTTTGGGGGCTGCAGGGATACGGAAAGGGCAGCTGCTGGGCATCTGGTGGGCTGCGTCTTAGGAGAGGGCTCAGGGTGCCCAGAGCAGTGTCTCCAGGGGCTGAACCCCAAGGGCCTGAGCTGGCCTCAAGAGGAACCTGGAGTCTGGTGAGGTGGTGAGCTCCCTGTCATCCCAATCAAGCTACTGAGAGCTCGGCTTTGGTCATTTGCAGTTGGTTCTTTCCAGATGTGCTTGGGGCCTGTGTGTGCTGAGTCCCCTCCCTTATTTTACAGATGAGGAAACTGAGGCCCAGAGAGGGACTGTTCCTTGTCTGAGGCCACACAGCGAAGTGTGACACAGCCTCTCTGCCTTGGCTCCTCTGGTCCCCCTCCTGCCCAGGGCTCCTCGCCACCCTTCCCAGCTGTCTGTGCTGTGGGGTCCGCCCCTGGCTGCCAGATTAGTGCTCAGAGTCTGGGCGGGGGCCTGGGTGTCTGCTCTGGAGCCGGGAGCACCGGGTTGGTGCCTGTGGCTGTGGCTCCGGGCAGAAACTGCTGGATTAATGGGTGTGGCTATGCCTCCGCCTCTTGAAGCAGCAATAGGTGCAGGCTGACACTGAGGCTGCTGGGGGCCCACGAGCTGTGTGCTGGACCTTGTGGGGCTGATCGCCCTCCCACGCCCTGGCCCCCTCCCCGAGTAACACAAATAACGATCCTAATGATGGGAGAGCTAGGGGGCCACACGCGCTTTAGCCAGATGTCCTGGGTTCAGATCCCATCTCTACCACTTCCTGGCCCTGTGACCCTGGGCAAGTTCCGTGACCTCTGTGACTCATGTTCCTCACTTGAGAAATGATGTAATCGTAGCAGCTCCCTGCGCAGTGTCGTGGGGACTAATGAGCTCGGGACGGAGCGCCCAGAACAGGGCCTGGCACCAAGGAAGTGCTAGCTGTGCTGTGATTGTCGTCATCGTCCAGTTGTCATGGTTCTTTTCTTCTTGCTATTGTTTACATTTTGCATGATTTCATTTAATTCTCTCCAGACTTGTATGAATCAGATACTATTACTCTCTCCGTTTTACTCGTAAAGAGACTGAGGCTCAGAGAGGGAAGGTGACCTCCCTGAGATTGCACAGCGAGTGAGCTTTGAGGCTGGGACTCAGAGCCAGGACTGAGGGGGCTCTGAGAGCCTGCGGTGGGAGGGGACACGGGCAAGGTTCCTGAGTGTGTCCCCGCAGGCAGCCCCTGTGCCCACCCTCCCTGATCCTCCGGTGGGAGAGCCGGCAGGGTTCTCTCCAGCAGCTGTGGAGGCACGTCGCCGGCTTTGCCCGGGGTGTCGCCACAGTGCCCTTGGCTCTGCTGGGGGCTCAGCCAGTTGGGGACAGCAGGCTCTAGCAGGTGGAGCCCCAGCCCTCCCCCGCCAGGTGGGCTCCGAGCGCGGGTCTTTGGTGCCCCTGTGGGAAGCTGGCTGCACCTCCCACCCCAGCGACGGCCCATGAGCCTGGGGTTGTCTCCGCAGTAACGGGGGGCCCCCTCCAGGTCCCACGTTCTCCCCAGAGAGCTGTGGCTGCAGATCCCATTGGTCCTTGGCCTCAGCCCTGCCCCTCCCCCAACAGCAGTTGAGTCCCCTCCCGGTTCTCAGTGGGTGGTCTCCCTGCCAGAGCCCCCGCCTCCTGTCCGGCTTTCTGCAGCTTCTGTGTGTGGGGGGCTTGGACTCCAGTCCATCCCACACCCCGAGAGCTGGGGCTTTGTTTCAGTTCAGGTCTGTGGTTGCCCTGGGTCCCGGCCACACTCTTGAGGTCCCAGAGTTGACATGGCTGAGAGGGAAGCTGGAAGGGCTTTGTAAGGTCCAAAGGGATGTGCTGGGGGAGGTCCAGTCAAGACTCTCAGAACAGGAGATGAAAACTCTGCTCAGACTGGTTGAGGCTCAAGAGGGGGTTATTGAGTCTTGTAATGAAAGTTGGTGTTAGTTCACTTCAGGTATGGGTGGATCCAGGCGCTCATGTGAAGCTGTTTGGGAGTTCTCTGTCCCCATCTCTGCTTTCTCCGTGGCAGTGTCATTCTCAGGCAGGGTTCCCCAGGACCTAGAAAGACTGTGGCCAGCAGCTCAGGCCCACTCACCCTCCCAGAGCAGATGGGACACTGCGCAGGGGTCTCAGCAGCAGTCCTGGGCTTGGCTCTCTTGGGCTGGCTGGAGTCACGTGCTCATTTCTCAGCCAGTACTGAGGCTAGGGGCTTGAGTGCGTGAATAGGTCAGGGCTGGGTCTTAGGCCCACCCCTGGAGTCAGCGGGGAGGCAGTCCCACACCCACCCTGCCCCGAGGACTAGATCAGAGGCCAGGAGTGGAGGTGACCAGGACTTGCAGCCCGTGCTCCCCGGCCGGTGGTGACCACATTGGGTTGCGTGTGCTGGCTTTGCCATCTCTGGCCCCACACCGCAGGCTCGGGGCTCTGTGGCCTTTATGCCGATTCCATCCTGCCGGGGTTCCCACCTCCCCCACCACATATATTTACAGATGGGGAAACTGAGGCTCAAGGTGTTTCCCTGAGGCTTCACAGCTGGCGGGTGGCAGGTGAGGACTCAACCTGGTTCCTGGGATTCTGAGAGCTGGCCCCTGCCCCGCTGGTCACCTCGTACTCGTCCTGTCCATTCATTCATTCACTCAGCAGCCGTGTCGTTGGACACCTGCTCTGGGCCTGCCACTGTTGCAGGCCCTGGGGACGTAGCAGTGACCTCGGCCCCAGCCCACTCACGTTGACTTCCTGGTCAGGGGACATAATCACACCCACAGGGGTCTGAGGAGTTCTGCCCCTCATTGGCCCCGATCCCCATCTCTCCTTTCACTCACCTCTCTCCCTGCCTGACCCCACCCAGGGGCAGACGCCCGGGTGTGCTCCTGCCCCAGGGCCTTTGCACTGGCTGTGCCCTCCACCTGAGTCTCCTTTTCCCACCTGGCTCACTCTCCATCCCTCAGCCCTTTGCTCAAAATGTCCCTTTTTTACCAGTTTTGACCTCTATTTAATCCTGAAAACCTTGCCACCCCTCTCCTCCTCTTCCTGGCTCTCATTTTCTCTTCGCCCTGTTCCCACAGGATGTGACTCCCGTTTTGTTTATTCTTTTTTTTGTGAACGGTGGCTCCAGGAGGGCAGGGATCCTGATCCCTTTTGTTCTCACGGTGTCCCTAGGAACAGCCCGCACACAGTAGGGCTCACTAAGTGCTTGTTGAGCAGATGGAGGATGGCAGAGGGGAGGGGCCCTCCTCCCCAGAAGAGCCCTCTGGTGGGGGGTGGGGGGGGGTGGGGTGAGGGGAGTGGGGGTCCTCTCCGCAGGGCTGGAGGCCGCGTGGGCGGGGCCCTCAGCTGCCTTTGCAGGAGCAGCGGGACTTCCCGCCCGGGATCAATAGGATTAGGTTTTAATCCTCCTCCCTGCCCGCTGGTTCCCGGGAGGCGGCTGCCAAGGGCCTGTCTGTAAATGCCGCGCCAGCCGCCAGCCGGGAAACGCAGCCCCGCCCGCAGGCTCCTGCACTGGGGCACCTGGATGCGGCGCCAGCCCGCGGGGGTGAGGGCCGCCGAGCCAGGCTCCCCGCTGCCCGGAGCTGCCCGCGCATGGGGCGGGCAGGTGCGCACAGATGGTGGCGCAGGAGACCCTGCAGGGCGGAAATGGGGGGACTGGGAGAGGCTTCTTGGAAGCAGTGGGGGGCCGTCGGCGGCGGGGACCCCTTCAGATGGGGTTGCCTTTGCTCTTCAGAGGGCGGGTGGGGTGGAGGAGGGCGCCTGGTGTCGCGGAGGGCGCTCACGCCTTGAGCACTCACGCACCAGCGCTGGCGAGGGATGTGTAAATGAGGGACAGCCCACATGGCGTGGACACTGTGAGAATCCTGGGCAGTGGGCAATCGAGGTGGGCTTCCTGGAGGACACGGGGTTTGAGCTCAGTCTGCAAAATTGGGCGCTCTTGGGAAAGGGTAGGCGGATGTTCCTGGTGGAGAGGACCTGGCCGGGTCAGGAGCTGGAGAGGAGCCGAATTTGGGGAGGCAGAGCCCCAGCAGCTGCGTGACGAGGGGTCGCAGAGGAAGAGCCGAGCCCCTTCTCATCTCAGACCAAGCGCCTTGCTGGTGAAGCTCGTGAGCACCGATCAGGACCGCGCGGACGGAGAGGACCAGTGCCCTCAGTTGCGCCCCCGATGGTGGAGCATCCCCTCGAGCACGGGGGCCTGGGCACCCCAAGGCCTGTTTGCAGGGCTCGGCTTCAGGCCTCCCCCGGCCGAGTTGTAATGGGGGCTCTGCGAGCGGTGGCCCCTGCACCAAGCCCTCCATCAGCCTCCACGCTGGCTCCTGATGGCTCCTGGGGTCCCGGCTTCCTCCGATTCCGCATCCGCACACAGGAATGTCGGCCTCATGGATTTGTGAACGCGGAGCCACGAATCCTCCTCCCTCCTTGTCCCCGTCAGCACACGTCCGGGAGAGCTCTGGATGGGCGTCAGGCTCCACGTGTGGACGAGGAGGCTGGACCTCAGGGAGATGCGGCTCAAACCCCTGGATGGACTCAGGGTGGGGGTGGTGTGGCCGGAGCGAGATGCTGGGGTTGTGGGCCTTCTGGGCGGGTGCATGCTGCTCCCACTCTGCAGACAGGAGGGTGAGGCCCAGAGCTCGGCCAGAGGCGGCAGCTGAGGAGCAGGAGTGGGGGCCCCGTGGGGGGCCGGCGGGGGCTGGCCAGGGTGAGGAGCTGGTCCGCCTGCCTGTGAGGAGAGCTGTGGTTAGTGTGTGTGTGTGTAACTATGGATGGCTGTGCTCGTATGGATGTGAATACACACATGTACAGGCCAAGTTGTGTGGGGCACGTGTGTGTGTGTGTGTCTACACTGTGGACCTGTCACTGGCTGTGTGCATGGGTGTGTGGTCGTCAGCATGTGCAGGCACGTGATTATTCGTGTGTTTATACATCTGTGCACCTGTGTGTACGTGTGTTTGAGTGGACCTGCGGATGCCTGTGTGCACGTGTGTATGAGTCAGTGAGTGTGGGGTACACCTGTGGTTATCTGTGCATTTATATACCCATGTGTTCGTGGGCACACCTGGGAGCCGTGTGACATGTAGGTGCACATGAGTGGTGGTGTGCACATGTGTGCAAGTTGGCGTGCATGGGGCATGTGTGTGGTTGTGCACTTACACTTCATGCATGTGCACGTGTCCACTTGGGTGCATGCCTTGTGTAGAGCTGCGTGAGTGCATGTGGCTCCGAGTTGGCCTGTGTGGCACGCGTGTGTACGTGTGTCTTTGTAGATGTGGCCAGTCTTTGGTGCACGGGTCCCTGGGGCCTGTGTGCACCTGCCTGTCTGCCAGGTGACCAGGGACTGTCGTGCCCCAGCGCTGCCCCAGGGCTCTCTGCCATCAGGAGGCTACGTGGACTTGGGGTCTCCTGCAGGAGGAGGGCAGTCTCTTGAGTGGGACCCCAGCCCGACTCCCAGAGCCTGGGGAGTGCCCCTGGGGTGGGCGGAAGCCGCAGGGAAGCTCAGCTGCCCCCTCCCCTGCACGTCAGCTCGAGCTCCTGGCTTTGTCCTCTGGGAGCCAAGCAGGGCGACCTCGGGCACCGTGGGGGCCTGGGCACCCTGGCGAGCAGCTTGCCTGGCTCTTGGGTGGCAAGAAGCTGTCAGCGAGGGGGTGAGAGGGAGCAGCTGCTGTGGGGCTGAACTGGTGGCCTGTGTTCCCCGACCACGGCCCTTTCCAGGGGGCTGTCTGCTCTCCATCTGCAGAGGGATGGTAAGAGAGAAGTGACAGCATGCACGTCACTTTGTTCCTTACGGAAGATCCTCCTCAAAGTCCTGGTTGGCTGGTACCCTGGGGGAGCGTGGCCACTTTGCAGGTGGGGAGACTGAGTCCCAGACAGCAAAGGGGCTGCTGAGGGTTAGAGTAGAGCCGACTCCCAGATGTTGGCCTGGTGGAGGGGGAGGGGCCGGATGGGCAGGAGGCCCCCAGCTCCCCAGGGACGGACAAACAGATTCCCACCCCCGTCCCTGCACCCTGGACCAGAAAATTTGGGGTGGGGGGTGGGAATGAAGCCAGGAGCAGGGATATGGGGGCGAGGCAGAGGAAATTCCACGGGAGACATGAGGTGTATGTGTGCACATGCGTGTGTGTGTGCACGCACTCGTATGTGTCTGTGTGTGTGTGCATGCACATGTGCAGGTCCAGGGCCACAGGCTCCCAGCCTTACCTGCTGCCCGAGCCCAAGTGCTCCAGGCCGGCTACATGTCCCAAGCCTGGGCTTCCTCCCGTGTAAATTCGGCTGATGCTGGAATCTTCCATGTGGTTCTTGCAGGGATCCAAACCCATGGAGCACAGAGGGCCCAATGCAGGGCCTGCGCGTGCGGGGCCCACGTGGTGCAAGCCGTGGCCTTGCTTTTATTGACAGCGATGACAGTAACGCCAGCCCTCATGTAGCCCTACTGTGTGCCGGGTCCTGCCGTGGGCTTGCATGTGCCAGCTCACTCGTCCTTGTAGGAGCCACGCCTGGCAGAGCTGCTGTTGTGCGGTCCGACCGTGAGGAGGCCGAGGCTCAGGGAGGGAGGCTTGGCCCCGCCTAGCGGGCGGCCTGCGGACTTGACCCAGGCAGGCTGTGTGGCGCCCTGCTCCCGGCCTCCATGGGCCTCTTTCCCTCGCGGCGGCATCTTCAGGGCTGTTTCGGGACAGGTGTCTTCTGGGTAAATGGGAGCTGCGTTGCCTTTTGCAATCTGCATTGCGTCCTGAGAGGCCCCGGGGTCCGGCGGGGCTTGGACGTGGAGTGGGTTGGGCCTGCGGGGGCACCAGCTCCAGAGACAGCGGGGATGTGGTTGAAGATGGAATCTGCCGTGGTGCGTTGGACACAGGCTTCTGGAGCCCGCACCAGGGACCCAGGCCCAGATCCAAGACCCAGGCCCAGCCATCTGCTGTGGCCGTTTCCAGGGCCCAGCCACTCCAGCCCTGCACTCCTTCATCTAGATGGGCAGTTGCTAATGACCCCTACTCAGCCACACAAATGCACACACACTCCTATTCATCCCTCAAAACCCAGCTTGTGTGTCGTTCCTGTTACCTTTCCAGAGAGAGTGACTCACGCTCCATTTCACGCTGTGCGTGCCTGTCTCTGCCTGAGCACGCTAATCTGCCATCGCTGCTCTGGACCCACTGCCCACCAGGCCAGGCTTATTGCAGGCGGGGGCTGGGTCTCACTCCTTCTGTGTCTTGTCCTGGCATTTAACGGATGAGTGTTCAAGAGGTGTTTGGGGGGCGGCCCTGGCCCCTCCCCGCCACATGCCCAGTCCTTCACGTGGCTCGGGGATGCTCGCATCTTCTCTATCCCACGGCTGATGCCTGTTCCAAGATGCCCTGGGGCAGGGTGGTCGGGCGTGACTGTCCGGGTGGCACCTGGCCCTTGTCTTTCTCCCTCCTGGAACCTGGAGCTCAGAAGCGGGACTTCTTCCTCATGGCCTCTTTCTGTGCCTCAGTTTCACCATCTGTAAAACCGTCCACGTTTTGCATCTGCCTGACGCTTGGTTTACATGCCACTTCAGTGTTAATAGCGTATGCCGTGTGCTCAGCGCTCGGCTCAAAGTGGGGCCTCACTGTGGTGAGGATTTGCTCCCTGGTTTTCCGGCCCCGGCCGTGCCCTGAGGCTGCTGGTCTCGGGGGCCGGGATCTTCGCAGAGGGGCCGAGAGCATGGCTGTGTCCGCGGGTGGGCTGGGCCCAGGGCTCCAGGCGGAGCTAGTTCCAGGAGCCAGCTTGAGCCCACCTACATACCCCGCCTGGCGCGGGGGCTGGGAGGGGGTGAGGCTGGCGCGGGGCACCTGCTGTGACACCTGAATCGCGAGCCTCGAGTTCTTCTGCCGGCCCCGTTCCCCAGGGCTCTGGGTCACCCCCGTCCAGTGGGTCTGGATTTGGAGGTCACTGGGGGGTGGTTCCGATCTGATGGGTGGTGACTTGCATGGCCTGCCCTCCCAGCCACACCACATACCGAGTGGCCCCCCCCGAACCAGGCCCAGAGCACCCTGCTTTCCATCGCACACGGCGGCCCGGATCCCACAAAGGCCCTCGCAAGGCACCTTCCAGAGCTGCCTGTCCCCCGCTCCCCAGTCGGCCCAGGCTGCCCTCCCAGCCTCCTCATGGTCACCAGGCCCTCGTGGTCCCGGCTGGGGGTCCGCGGGGCCGGGCTGGGGCTGGAGGGCCAGCCTGTTGAATTCACCGCCACCGAGCTCTTTCTGCCACACGTTCCTGTTTTCCTAATAAGTCCTGTGTTGTGATGGGGAGGGAGGTGGGGAGGCCCCAGGCGGCTCCGAAACGGTCACGTGATGGTGAAATGCAGGAATCCTAGAAAGGGTGTCTCTGAGGCTCCCTCTCCCCGCCCCCCTCGCTGGCCGCACCAGCTCTGAGGTCACTGTCGACACCCGGCCAGCTTCCAAGGCAGAGGAAGCCACCCTGGGCCTGGCGGTGTCGGCTGGCTGGCAGGAGCTGCGCCCACACCACTGGCCCCGGGGGGGTCGGGCCTGGGGGCCGGGGGGCAGGCCCCGGAGAACACGGTGCGTTTGTTAGAATCGAAACTTGGCGGGCCTGCCCGGGCCCGCGGCGCTGTGGAGGCCCTCTGTGTGCTCCCAGCCTGGGGAGGGCGCGGGGACCCGGGCGCCCCCTCCCCGCCCCCGGCCGGGCCTGGCGTGCTGGGCCGGGCAGCTGCCTGCGCTTCGGAGCCCTCTGTTCATAATCTGTGCTCTGTGTGTGTTAATTCCTCTTCTCCATCACTCTGCAGAAGAAGGCCGAGGCTGCGCACCGGATTCTTGAAGGCCTGGGGCCCCAGGTGGAGCTGGTGAGCTGGGGGCAGGGGGGCGCCGGGAGGGGGCGGCCGGAGCGGTGGGCAGGGCGGCAGGTGGGTGTGGAGGGGAAGGAGGAAGTCATCCACTGCCCGGAGGAGGCAGGAAACACGCCCTCCTGATAAGACAGCCAGGCAGAGCTCGGGTGGTGGGGGGGCGGTGGCCGGGTGGGGGCCCAGGGTTGGGGGGCCGTTGGCACTGCTGCTCCCCTGAAGCCCAGCCAGTCAGGCTGCGAGGAGAGCAACACACCGAGTCCGACTCATCTGGTCTGGCTCAGTGGGGAAAGCCCATCCTCTGGGCCATGGTCCGAGTTCAGCTCCCGGATCTGCTGCCCCTTCATAGCTGTGTGATCCTGAGCAGGTCTCTTAACCTCTCTGTGCCTTGATTTCCTTACGTGTAAAATGGGAATAATAATAGTGCGTATCCTATTGGGTTGTAGTGAAGATTGACGATGTTAATTTTTTAAAGTATCAAACACAGTGTCTGATGGAGAGTAAGTGCTGAGCGTTAGCTGTGGTTATTATTGTTATTATTATTAATCATCATTACTGTTGTCTTGCTGACGGGAAGATGCCGTGTCAGCAGCAGTCGGGGAGCAGACCCTGGGCCTCTTCTCTCTCAGGCACCCGTCACCCAGATGTGTTCCCAGAGCTGGGAGGCGGGAGAGCGTGGAGACTGCTGCTGGTGGCTTTGGAGTCCCAGAGACTCTGGAGCAGAAGCCTCGGCCCCTCGGGCCGTGTCCCAGGGAGCGGGTGGCGTGGGGGTGGGGCGGGGAGCAGTGCACACGGGGCAGGTGTGAGGGTCTGTGCTCGGGTGTCTGGGGTGGGCGCGCCTGCCCCGGGGTAGAGAGCGAGCCTTGGGCCCCCGGAGCCTGGTGGTCAGCTCGGCTCCCCCAGGGTCTGCTGCGTGGCCCGGGCGGGCTGGGCTTCTCCCTCCGTGGACAGGGAGCCAGCTCCTCACGAGGGTCGTGGGACGAGGTCGTGGGAAGCTCCCGGCCATCGCGCACGCGTTGGAGGCGGGGCCGTTGGCGCTGGAGCTTTCTCTGCAGCGACGGCTGCTCCTCAGCCTGGGCCACCGAGGACCAGGGAGCGGCCGGCCTCTCTTGGCCTCTGGTCCTCTTGGAGGGCAGAGCCAGACAGGTGGGGGGCCTACGGGTCGGGGGCAGGCTCCCAGCCTGGGTCTTGCTCCCCCCGAGGGGCGTGCTTCCTGGGCCGTCTCTGGCAGCCCCTTTCTTTTGTCAGCAGCTCCATTGAGATGTAACTCACATGCCGTACAATTCACCCATTTAAAGTGTACAGTTCAGGGGTTTTTAGTTTATTTACAGATGTGTGTGACCATCTCCACAGTCAGTTTTAGGACATCGCACCATCTCAAAAAGAACTCTGTCCCCTTAGCTGTCACCCCCTTATCTCCTCCTCCCCCTGCCCGCCCTGACCAGCCACTGGTCTCCCTTCTGTCTGGAGTGGCCCGTCCTGGACGTGGCGTGTCAGTGGAGTCAGAGGCCGTGTGGCCTTTCATGTCAGCTCCTCTCCCTCAGCAGCATGTGGTCAAGGTCCCTCCAGGCTGGAGCAGGCATCCGGCCGCATTCCTTCCTGTCCTGAGTCCTGTCCCTCCGTGGCAGGGACCGCGCTCTCTGCGTCCGTTCGTCCGCTGATGGACGGCGGGTTGTTTTGCTTTGGCCGTCCTAGGTCAGGTGGCTGCGACAGTGACGTGCGGGTGTCCGTGTGGCCGCGTGTCCGTCTCTCGTGGGTCTGGACCAGGACGGGGTTACTGGGTTGTGTTCAGTCTGTGTTTAGCCTCTCAAATTCCCAGGCTGTTTTCCCAAGTGGCTGCACCATTGTCCCTCCCCACGAGAACGCTGCTGCTTGCCTCGGTTTCCCCTTCTTGCCAGTGGGGATGGCAGGACTAGAGGTGGTACCCAACTGTTCCCAGAGCCCTTGCCTGCCCTCCTCAGTCCTGGGGGCCTCCTGTGGGGGCGAGGATGGAGGTCACCAGGTCTGGAGGCCCGAGGGAGGCCGGTGAGGAAATGGCCCAGCGTCCCTGTGAGCGGGGGCATCTGCTGGCTCAGAATCCCAGCGATTCCTTTTCTGGGTCTTCAGGGGTGAGAGGGTCGTCCCCTGCTTAGGGGTCTCAGAGCAGGGGCTCCCTCAAGGCTGGTGGCATAGGAGGGCGAGGTCTGGAGTGTCTGGTGGCTGTGTGGCTGTCACCAGAGTCCTCTTAAAGTTCGTAGGCTCTTGGCTTGGTGGCCTGCAGTGGAGCTGGGGAGGGGACTCACTTTGACAGGGCACCTGCCGTGTCAGGCCTCGTAGAAGCGTTCCCCGTCGATTTTCTAGATGAGGCTCAGAGAGGGCAGTGCCTTGCCCAGGGTCACACAGCAGGAGATGGGGCAGGGAGGTGTGCTGAGCCCATGGGGTTGCAGCCAGCCACTTCTCCACAGGTCTGCTCTCTGTCTTCGTCACCGCAAGGCTCAAGTGGCCAAAGATGACCTCCAAGTGGAGGTGGCTCAGAGGTGACCCTCTTCAGGGGCTGCTTCAGGCTGGTGGAGTCAGAGCTCAGGGTCTCAGGTCACTGGGCCGCGCCATTGGGAGCCCTGGGGGTCTCTGTTCTGCAGAGGGGGACCTCTGTGACTTCCTGGGGGGAGCCTGCACAGGATGGAAGGAAGCACATTGGCCGCTCTGAGCAGGACGCGGTGTCAGCCCCGTCCTACCAGCACCTGGGCCAGCCTGGCTCGTCCCGAGGGGCGTGGGCAGCAGCAGCCCCTCCTCGCGCCTGTGGCTTCGCGTCCTGGCTTCCTTCCTGTTCGGAGGTGTTATTTTAAGGCGTTGAGGCTGGCCAACTTTCATCTCCTCCCGCACCGTGCACCGGGGTGGCTGAGGCCAGGCGAGGGGACCCCGCGAGACCCAGTCTTCCTCCATCGTTGGGGCTCCTCGCTTCTGCCCAGGGCTTCACAGTCCTGCGCGCCTGCCGCCTTCCAGGCTCTCTGCCCCCGATGGATTTGCTGCCCTCCGTTTTTAGAGGAGGAAGTGGAGGCATGGGGGAACGACAGGCCGGGGCCCCCGCCCTGCTCCTTGGGCTCTCTGGGGGGTTTCCCTCCTAGCTGGTGCCCCCGGCAGCAGGGCGGGGAGAGCCTTGCCCACTGGCTGCTGTGGGGGGAGGCGGAGGTCGCCTCACGGCCGCCGTATGGGGACTGGCCTCCAGGACGGAGGGGGCCTTGTGCCCCCTGTGGTGGCGAGGAGGTGCGTTAGGGGTTCCCTCACGCCCTGCCCCCCTCCCAACAGCTCTGACCACGGATGTGACCCAGTCCCTGCCCGTCCCCATCCCGGCCTGGGCCTCCCAGGTGGCTGCCCAGGACTGTCGCCGTGCGAACAAGCAGCCTCCTGGGCAGGGTCTCCATCCCCCGGTCTCCGTTCTCCCTGAGGGCCAGTGCCTCCCAGGGGACAGCAGACCCCACAGTTTCTCTGTGTCCTTCCGGCCCTTTACTGAGGGGCCCGCACTGAAGGCCCTCGAGGGGCAGGTGCCCATCCCTGCCGTGTCCCACGGGGCAGGCGGCCGCAGGTGGCAGTGGTTCCCTCCCTGCAGGTTTGGCGGGTCAGAGGCTGTCTGGGGCCCACTGCCCTCCTGGAGGGCGGTCTCCCCTTTCCCGGCCTGTCCTGCCTTGTGGACGCAGACGGCCCTGCCCGTGCTTCACCCCCGGGGGTGCCGCCCTTGGCTGTGGAGACGTTGCCATTCGCTGTCTTTAAAACTGAAAGGAGGCAGAGCGGTCACCACGTCTGCCGTTTCCTGGGCTTCTCATGGGCCCCGTGAGGTGGGTGCTGTTTGCTCTGTGCCCGTTCCCCGATGAGAGGACTGAGGCCAGCGTGTCCGTGGCACACGTCGAGGTCACACGGCCGGCCAGGGAGGCGCCGGCACGGACATCGGCTGTCTGTTCCCGGACACTGACCCGTTAGGCCGTGTCCACGTCGGGGACTCGAAGGACCTGCTGCAGGGCCAGCCAGGGTCAGGCAGGACGTGTGGTTCTTGATGGGCTGGGGCACCTTGTGGCCGCTGCCCTGAGATGGGGGCACCCAGCCGTCCACAGCCATGTCCCCAGGTCAGGAGGCTATGCCATGAGTCGGACTGGGGGCTCTCTGGTTCTCCTGGTGAAGCCTGGGGCCAAGCAGCTCGGAAGGGCAGCCTGCCCTGGTGTGGGGAGAGGCGGCCTGTGCCAGCCCTGGGGTGACGTCTCCGTCCCCTGGGGAGCTGAACTTGGAGCCTAGAATTGCCCGGGCCCGATGGGGAAATGCCACAAGGGAATCTGGGGACCCCGGGAGAGAGGTGACGTTGTCATCGGCCAAGGCTGCCTGTGCTGCCTGGCCCTGGGCCCCTTGACCACCCGGGGCAGTGGCGGCAGCTCCTCGAGGACCCGCCCTGTCCACACGGGGGAGGCCGGCCCCCGCCCGGCGCAGGCTGGGCCGTCAGCTGGGGCTGCAGGACGCCGGTGGTGTCAGGAGACGTGTCCAGCGCCCTCCCAGGGAGAAGATCCCACGGAGCCTCACGCTCGCCCCGGGCCCTGCCCTGAGGCTTTGGGACTGCACGCCTCGTCCTTAGGGGCGGCTCGCCCCTCACGCTCTGTGCCTGGCCTTCCGCGGTCATCCGTGGCTGCCCCGCGGCTCCGCTGCGGGCGTGGGCGCGTGAGAGAGCGAGGGACGATGGGGGAGAGGGACAGAGGGCGACGCCGGGAGGACGCAGACACTCGGAGGGAGACGCGGGGGGGGGGGCGCCGAGGGGGAGCGGACCCTCCTGCGGGGCCGGGTCGAGAGGCGGGTGTTCGTCCCACTCACCCCGAGCGGCCGTGGCGAGCGTCTCACCCCTCGGGCTCGGTTTTCCCGGCTGGGAAGTGGGCTGACGCTCGTGTCAGTCAGCTGTGCTGGGTGACAACCGGCCTTACGTTCAGGGGCCTGAAGCCACAACCTGCCACGAGGGCAGCAGTCACAGGCGTGGTCAGCTGGGTTGTTGGCCGGTGGCTCTGGCTGGGCCTCGGCTGGGACGGCGCTGCTGTCCCCACATCGTGTCTGCCCCCGGCCGGCCAGCCTCGTGCTCTTCACGGGCAGGCGAACGAGAGAAGCAGAGTTGCAGCCGCGTCCCCAGGCCTCTGTTTTCATTACGTGACACGTGTCCCCTCTCCAGAGCGGGAGCAGCGGCCACGGGGAGGCAGGAAGGGCGGGTGCCGTGGGTACGGTCGGGGTGCCCTGCTGGCGCGAACCACACTGGCCCTTCCTTCAGAGACGCGGGGGGCAGTCTGCGCGCCTTCCCTCGTCCGTCTCCGCCATGAGTTCAGCCCCGTGTACAGATGGGACCTGGGGTGCAGGGGCTGGGGTCACTCAGCCCGAGACGCAGGGGCCGTGCCGTGGTGGGACCATGCTGGGAGCGCAGGTCGTGCCCTCGTCCTCGCGACTGTGGGGAGGTGTGGTGTTGGCGGGTCCTGTCCACGCCCGTCCTTCCCACGGTGGACGTCCAGCTCGCTTGTGGCGCGGTGCTTTTGCACGTCCTGCGCATGGACACCGCGCGTCTGTCTCCTGGTGGACACTCACCCGGGCGTTTCTGGGGCACCGCGGGAGGGACAGGGTCGTAGGGCACACACATCTCCATCCTTGACGGGTGTCACTTCATGGCTGTCCGGAGCACGGGGACCGTTTGCGTCGGCCATGCGCCAGCCCCCCGTCGCCCGTCCGCACTGACGCCCAGCGGTACCTGCTTTTGTCTCCCGCCGATTGGTGGGGACGCGGCATCTCGCGGTGGTTGGACACTGAGAGGTGAGGCGGCTCTCCTTGATCGAGGTCCTGCTGACCCCTTGGGCTCGCCCTGATGCCTGGCCCAGTGCTGCCTGGGACCCTGCAGAGGCGCCAGCAGCTCGGTGGGGGGTCGTGTGCCCACGGCTGTGCCACAGAATTACAGCCTGTTCCCGGCCGGTTCCGTCCCACTTCACGCCTGCCGGCTGCGGGTTCTCACACCAGCGCATGGCTGTCTCTGCCAGGGCCTTGGGCAGCACGGCCGAGGTGGCCCAGGGCTGGAGCCCCAGGCGCTGGGCTCTGAGTGGGGCAGTGGCTGGCCCGGCTGCACCAGCTGCCCCCAGCCCCGGCCGGGCTCTGACGTCCTTCCCTCTGTCTCCCTCCACAGCCCCTGTACAACCAGCCCTCCGACACCAAGCAGTACCATGAGAACATCAAAATGTGAGTACTCGCCCGGCGCCATGTGCACGCGCGACCGGGGGCCTGGGTGGGATGCCAGTTCTCAGCTCCATCGGTGCCCCCCCCCGGGCCAGGTGCCAGAGGGGCAGGATGGGGCCTCGAGTGGGCTCAGAGCAGGCCCGGGTGGGAGAGTCCTGGGAGGGGCCCCAGACTTCAGGAAACACACCTCGGGCTGGAGAGGGTGGTGAGGACGTGCACGCACAGCCCTGGGGAGACGGAGGCGGGGACGCAACCCCTCCTCCTGTTTGAGCAGGAAGAAGCTGCTGCTGGGAGCGTGGGCTGGAGATGATGGGGGGCGGCCCCGGGGCTGGCACGGGCCCTGTGGTTGGGGCTCTGATGTGAGCATCTTTGGGAGTGTCCATCTGTGGCACAGCCCAGTGGGGAGCTGCTGGGAGCGTTAATCCAGACCTAGAAGCCTTGGAGGTGGCCAGTGTGATGAATCCCAGTTGATGGGACCTTTGCCCAATTGGATGCTAGGAGTGAAAAATATATCAGTTAAGTGCCACATGCAGTGTGTGTGGCCCGAGCTGGCATAGCCGGGGCACCAGGGCTGTGCTGGAGGCTGGTGACTTTGTGTCTTCAAGCTGGGAGCAAGGCACTGAGATGGGGCTTCCAGAACGGGGCCTGGTTTTTCTTGGGATGCATTAATGGGAGCATAGCCTCCTTGCCTGAGGAGGAGATATTACCTCATGTTGTTTTCCAGGATCCCAAAAGGTAAAAGGGACTGCAGACCTTGTCCCTTGAGGAACGTGTGGCCTTGAGTACTCTGGGGGTGTTAGGTTGGAGATGGACTGTTTGGGGTCACAGTCTTTGAACTGTTCAAAGTTCATCGTTGTGAGATGGCGCAGGTATTTTGTGTGACCTCGGAGGGCGGTACTTAGCTGGTCCAGTGAGCGGTCCAGCCTGGCCTAATCGAGCTTCCCTGCGTAGAATTGCAGGGTATACATGCAGTAGTGAGCTCCCCATCCTTGGAGGCATGCAGACCTCCTGATGGTTGTCAAGCATCTGCTGGTGCTGGACTAGTTGGCCAGGAGGTCGCTTGTATTGTTGTTTCTGGATTTGAGTGACGACTGGCCCAAGCCCTGGTGACCAGCACGGCCCCCCGCTGCAGCTCCCAGTGGCTGAAGGAGCCACCTGGACCATCTTGTTGCCAGCGAGGTCTTCGGCCCGGGTGGGCCCAGGTGCAGCTGCCAGCTGCCTCACTGGCGGTCACTCTCGGCGCGTGACCGGCAGGGGCGCTGGTGCAGCTGGGGTGTTGCTGTCCCGTGCGGCCCGTGCTTTTGTCAGCTGTGAACAGGACAGACCCGTACCTGGCTCAGGTGTTCTCTGGCCGTGGAGACAAAAGTAAGTGAGTCAAATAAACAGGAGAATGTCAGCGAACAGGACGGCCATGTCGCCAGCCACCCGGAGCTCTCTGTGCTTTGATGAACCCGGTGGTGTTTTTCCCTTTGACGTAACAGTTTTGGTAGCAGCATCATTACACTGAGAGTTTGACGTACGTTTTATCACTGAAAGTGAGTAATGTTTTAAGCTGAAGGATGTGCATGGTTCCAGGTTGTAAAAACAACCATAGAATCCAGATAAAAAGGGGAAAGCGGTCCATTTGAGTAACATTGGCGTGAAGATGCTGCGGCCTCTCCATTTGAGTGGAGTACCGCTGTCCGCTGTTGGGGCCGCGCCCGGTTCCTCCTCCTGTGGCCGCCGTCAGAGGCGGCTCGGGTCTCCCGGAGCGCGTGTCGGCTGAGGGGTGACCCCCATGGGGCGTGCTCCGAATCTGACCCGCACGGGAACGTGTTTCAGTTTAGATCCCGGAGATGAGTCCTTTTAAGGTTCCTTCTGTGGTAAGTGGTCACTTTTACGTTAGAAACATAGATGCGTAAGTAAATTATTTCAACTGATTCGTCCTTAAAGTTTTTAATTTTTTTCCCAGTTTTCCACTAAAATCAGGATTACTTCTGTATCTTTAATTTCAGTGTGATCATCGTTAAGTTTGCAGACGTTCGTTTTAGAAAATGCAATGACGAGGGGAAATGGGGTGATGGGAGAGAAAGTGAGGGTGCTGTTCACCCCGGGGATCAGGGCAGGCCTGACAGTTGAGCGGACCCTTGGGGGCTGCGTGCCAGCCGGCCATGTGGGCCTCCCAGGCCTGTGGAACAGGCAGTGCAAAGGCCCTGGGGCTGGACTGTGCCGGTGGGATCACAGAGAAGGCCAGCGTGGCCCGAGGGGGTCGGCGAGGCTGAGGAAGGGGCAGCCAGGGCTGGGAAGGGGGCGGGTTTTATTTACATGCAAAGGGAGCCAGTGGTGAGGTTTCTGCTGGGACGTGATGTGCTCCGACTTGTGGTAAAAGCTCGCTCTGGTGGCTGCCGGGAGGGAGGATGGGTCGGGAGGCCTTGACGGAGGTCGCAGCAGCTGTCCAGGCAAACTGTGGTGGGGGCGCAGGCGGACCCCGGCCCCACGGGAGCTGCAGGGGGGGATGGTGTGGAGGGCCGGGGGCCTGGGCAGCTGTGGGACGGGGACGCCGATTCCTGAGGTGGGAGCTGAGGGCACGGGGGCGGGTTGGGAGCCGTGAGCATCTGCCGTGTGGGTAGTCACTGACGCTCAGTGCCTCAGTTTCCCCCGTGACATGGGGATAGTTACAGCTGCTGTCTCCTGGGGCCGCTGAGCGTCAGTGAGTTCCTGCCCCCGAGGCACCGAGCTCAGCGTCGGCCCGGAGGAGCGGCATGTGGCTTTGATTCTGTTTACGTTGTCTGCAGGGACCAGGTTATTGCCCATTGGTTCATTTGTTCATTCGTTCATTCATTCGGTCACTGAACCAGTATCCCGTGAGCGCCCGCTACGTGCCGGGCAGCACTCTGGGCCCTGGGAGACGGCAGTGACGGGCCTGCCACGCCGGTGGTGCAGGCAGTAAACACAGACGTCGGTGACGCATTGACAGCTTGTGAGGACAGTGGGACGGATGGGGCCGGGCAGCTGGGCGTCCTGCTCTCAGGGGGCAAAGCGGCTGCCGGCTCCCCCCTTGCTGCACCGCCCCCGCCCCTGGCCCAGTCCCCCCTCCGCCCGTGGCTGTGATTGCCGCCAGGTGCAGGCTGCGCCCCGCAGGCCTGGCCTGTCGCTTTAATTTCTCTGCGTCTGTGGGGACGCGGAGTGACAGTCAATTTCACGCTTGGCTTCCTGCGGCCGTGTCGCTGTCACCTGTTCCCACCTCCCTGCCCCCGCCACCTGGCGCGTGGGGAGCTGCGGGCCGGCGCCCTGCTCTGGGGGGCTTGCTGTGGCTCCAAGCCCAGGTGCCCATGGTCCTCAGAGCTCAGGCTGCAGGCAGGGGGGTGGGGGGTGGGGCAGCGGGGCTCCGTCAGGTCAGGGCCTGTTGGGGTGGTGGGTCGGGAAGCCCCAGGGGCTTCAGGGAGGGGTCAGGGAGCCGCCACTGCTCCCGTGTGGTCCGCGTGGCCGGCCTGTGGGCAGCCCCGGCCGGGTCCCCACTCTCCTTGACCGGAAGGCGGCTGGTCCCCTGTGTTCTCTCCCTCGCCTGTCCTTCCTGTCCCGCAGCCTGATGTCTGTCTCTCCCGCCTCCTTAGGTGCCGGCTGACTGGAGCCGGTGGCCCCGGGCTGTGCAGGCAGAAAGGGGGTACTGCTAGGCTGGGTTCTGCTCACTGGTCTTTGTGTCCTGTTTTGGAGGTTCAGAGACATTAAGTGACTTCCCCAGGGTCACACAGCCAAACTCCAGGCCAGCCCGACCTGCAACGCACCCTGTTTCCTCTCCAAGGTCCTCGGTACCTGCCCCCTGTTGCCCTGCTGAGGTGGGGTGGCCCCTGGTGCTGTGCCGGCGTCAGCTGGTCTCCCGGGAGCGCACTGGGGCAGTGCTTGGCTTCCGCCTCAGTCACCCCATGTGGCAGCCTCCTCCCAGGGCCTCAAGGCCCCTGCACCCAGTGCTCTCTCTGGATGCCCCTCCTTTCCCCTCCGAATTCCCCGTCACTGCCACGCCCCTGTACCCAGCGCTCTCCTTGTTTCCCTCTGCTTGCCCACTCCTCTGCTTCTCCCAGGCCTCAGCTCAAACCTCCCTTCTTCCAGGAAGCCTCCCCTGATTGCCCCAAGCTTTCCTTTTCCAGAACCCCAGAAGCCCCAGGGCCAGGCCCTGGGAGGCTCTCCTCAAACGAACGGCCACAGTGTTTGTATTTCCTTGTTGCTCGTCTGCGGTCCGGGGTCAGGCAGCGAGGCCGAGGGCTCCTCACGGCTGTGCTTTTTCCAACCCCGACTTCTCCAGGAGGCTGTAGATGTGCTTTGCACGCCGTGAGCGCCTCCACTGGCGAGCTCATCCTGTGCTGGTCCGTCAGCCCTTCCAGAGTCCTGTGAGACTGTCCCTTATTTTTGCTGGACAAAATCTCAGCATAAGAGATTTGCAGTAAGCTGTTGCATCTCTGATACCAAAACACCACTTGGGACGAAATGAATACTCAGGAAATGTTTACTGGAAGAATGTTGAGCAAGTGGACACCCCAAGTCTGATGTCTAGGGGATCGCAAACCCAGATGCTGCTTCTGGGGCGGGAAGGAAAGTTAGAGTGGGCTGGGCTGCTGGGAGGCAGTAGGGAGTGGTGGGGACTGTGGAGAATGGCGAGCTCATCGCCCTTCTAAAGAGACAGTTGGGCCTCAGTTCCCAGTCTGTGGCCTTGAGAGAATGTGGCCAGACCCCCGGATTTTTCAAGAGAAGCTGTAAGTTCAGCTTGTTATGCAACAGCTTCTGGTTTTCAATGCTGGCAGTGAGTTCTGCTGTTTTAGATCCTGCGGCAGTCCAAGCAGCACGCTCCGGCTGGCTCCGGGTGGCTGACTGCTCCCGCTCGCAGCCCGTGGCCTCGACATTTGTCCTGTTGGCCGTGGGCAGATGCCTCCGGGTGCCAGGCTCCTGCTTACTTTGGAAGCCAACCCGGATCGGCCCGGGAGCGTCCATGCCCGGCCCTGGCCCTGATGGAGAGGTGGCCGCACACATCCCCTCTGCCCCGCGGGACTCTGCTCCTGCGGCCTGGCCGGTCGGTGATGGCCGTTATCCGAGGGCGGCCGGGAAGCCGAGAGCTGCAGTGGTCCTCATGGGCATGGCGGCTGGAAGCAGGCAGCGGGGCATCGGCGGGGCCTTCGTCTCTGCAGGCTCCGGGGAGCGTCCCCCTGCCTCCGTGCACGTGTCGCGGCCTCCCTGGCGTTCCTCGGCCGTGGGCTCCTCGCCCCTGCTCCCTGCACGGGCCTCCTCACCGTGTCTCTCGTGTCGTCTCTCTCTGTGTGTGTCTGTCCCCACGTCCAGACTTTCCTCCTCTGAGGACCTGGCCACACGGGGTGAGGGCCACCCTAACAACCTAATTCTCATTTGAGGACCTCTGTCAAGCCCCGATTTCTCACAAGGTCACATTCTGAGGAGCTGGGGGTCGGGACTCCAACCTCTTTTTGGGGTTGGGACACGTCTCACCGCATGGCGTGCACCAGGCCCCCTTCCGCTCTGGAGTGGCCTCTGCTCGAGCCTCCCCGTAGCCTTTCAAGACGGAGCGCGGCCCGCCGTTTTTAACTATCTATTTTAAACTGGCTGGATTCACAGAAGGGTCACAAAGGTCGTGCAGAGAATTCCCGTGTCCCCTGACGCGGACGTCTGCGCCGCTGGTGCGCTCGTCACACGGGGAGACCGCGGAGGCCGTGACCGCGCTCCCAGCTGGCGGCAGACTGTCTGTGGGTCATCCCGGTTCCCACTAGTGTCTGTCTTCTGGCCCGAGGTCGATCCCAGTTCCGCATGGCGCTTCGTCCTCGTGTCTCCTTGGTCCCCAGTCTGTGACGGTTCCTCCTCTCTCCTTGTCTTTCCTGGCCCTGATGCTTTTGAAGAGCACTGGTCAGGGAGTCTGTAGAATGTCCCTCAATGTGGGTTTGTCTGATGTCACCTCATGAGGACACTGGGCCTGTGGATCTCGGGGAAGAGTCCCACAGAGGGGAGCGAGGCGCCCCTCCCATCGCCTCGGTCAGGAGCGCCTGACGCCCACGGGCCGGGTGTGACCGCCCGGCTCCGTGGATGAGGGTGGGGTCTGCCTTGTTTGTCCTCCCTCGGCCGCTCTCCTTCTCGGCCGTCCTCTGCGCGAGAGAAGCGAGTCCGCACTCCAGCCTGCTGTCGAGGGGAGGGGAGGGGAGGGGAGGGGGCTCAGCGCCACGTCCTGGAGGAGGAACGGCAGAGAGTGTGTGGATGCGAGTTAACCCGCCACGATCGTTGGTAAACATCTGAGGGAAAGTGCCGCGAGGCTACGCAGGTTCCCTGCTTCTCCTCCAAGTGTCGCCCGTAGGTTTCAGCCGCGTGTGTGGAGCCCGCATGCAGCGCTGGCCCCGTGCTGTCCCCCGGGGCCTCCTGCGCTTGCTGCCTGGAGCTCTGTGCGCAGCGTCCGTCCCTCTCCCGCCTGCTTGGTTTCCTCAGTCGTTTATTTACGTGGGCGCGGACTCACGGTGCCTATTTTGTTCCTTCGGCTCTAACCCTCTCTTCTCCGTTTTGCCGCTCGCGTCGTCCCGCTGGGGCACCTGGGGTCGGGGGGTCCTGTGTCCCGATGCTCTTTTCCTCTTGGCACTTTAGTACTTGAAGATGGTCTGGCTCTTGTGCGGTTCCTGCCCCGGCTCTGGAACCAGCCGCGCCTGCAGGGAGAACTGGCTCCTTGTAAGGGAGAAACCAAGACCTCGCTGCTCCAGGCCCGTCGCTCTGGGCTCTCATTGCTGCTTGGCCGACTCAGCTGTCCGTCTCTCTTTCAGTCCAAACCCTTGACTGTGTCCAACCGACCAGGCCCTGTACAGCGTCCCTCCATCCTGCTCGTGTCCTCTCCCCCTGCGCTCTGGGCTTCCCCCATACCCTCCAGCCACGCGGGCCTTCTTCTCTCTGTTCTTCAGTTACTCCCAGTTTGTTCCTGCCTCAGGGCCTTTGCACCTGCCGTGCCCTCAGCCCAGAGTGCCCTTCCCTCTGGATCTTTTCATAGCTGGTCCTTCTGGTGATATAGATCTCGGCCCAAGGCCGTCTCTGAGAGACTCTTCTGCACCTCTGAGTACCTGCCCTCCTACCCCGTCACTGTCCCCACCCCACTGAAATTCTCAAATCCAGCATGGTGCTGATTATCTTCTTTGTTGTCTTGCTCACGGCTGTGTCCCCATCGCCTGGAACAATGTCTGACACAAAGTAGGCACTCGGTCAGTGTTTGTTGGCTGAGGAGATGAAAGCATTGTGCTGTTGTTCCTATGTTTTGGATGGGGAAACTGAGGCTGCAAGACCGTCTGAGATTTGCTCAGAGACCCCTGTGGTGGAACGAGGGGCTCTGGTCTCCACCTGTGTGACTAAGGACCCCTGGGGCCCACCCTGCTCCGGGTGGGGGAGGCCGATGTCAGTATCGAGGCCTCGAGGTGGGGAGGCCCGGCCGACGTGAGGCAGCAGGACCCCGGAGCAAGCGTCACCCCCGCGGCCCCCAGAAGTGGGTGTGGCCTTTCCCTGGGGGATTGTGGGGTGTGGCTGGGCCTCTGAGCCTGTCGGGTGTCCCTGGGGTCCCAGGAGGACGCTGTCCGCTGCTCCCGGCAGCCCTTCCCTCCTGAGGAGGAGGGGGTGTGGGTGCGGTGCCTTCCTGGATGGGGCCGGGTGTGAGGACGCCCACCTCCCTCAGGAAACGGCAAGGGGCCTGAGGTGGGGGGCAGCGGGCCAGGGGGTGCCAGCCGGCCTGGCTCGGACACCTGGTGCCGGCACTGCCTGCCGCAGGGAGGGGCAGGCTGCACTGGGCAGATCTCGCTCTGGGGCTGCGGGGTCTCTTTCCCGCCGAGGACCAGATGGGGGTGAACTGGGGCTCGCTCTCAGCGGGAGGAGAGCCAGGGGGGCCACCTGCCGTGCGTTGCTGACCGCCCTCTGCTGTCCCGCCTAGAAACCAGGCCATGCGGAAGAAGCTCATCCTGTATTTCAAGAGGAGGAACCACGCTCGCAAGCAATGGGTGAGTGCTGGCTGCCTGACCTGTGCACTGCGTGCCCCGCGGGACCACGTGCCCGCGGCCCACTGAGTGACTGAATGTCCATGTGGCCCGCGGAGGCCTGGGACCAGGCCCGGATTCCGCCTCCTCTCCGCCCGGAAGGGGAGAAGGCAGGACGTAGGCTGGGAAAGCGGGTTCCTCATCAGAGGCCCCCTTGTCGCTTTCCAGGTGGAGAGAGAGGTTTGTCGGAACAAACGGGGACCTGGGTGGGTGGGGGGCTGGGGCTGCCCTTAAATGAGGCCCTCCTGGCCTGCCGTGCCCACATCCAGGCCAGGAAGGTGTGGGTGCAGGGAAGCGTTGAGGCCCCCTGCCTGCACCAGCGGACAGGGGCTGCGTCAAAACGGCTTGGGGTGCTACTCCTGCCTCCCTCTGCGCACGCTGGCCTCGCAGCCCAGGCTAGGAGAGCACGAGGGAGGGATCCTGGAGTCATGGTTACGGGAGCCGTTTGCATCGCTGATTTGCTGGGACGTCAGGGCCAAGTGACAGGGGGTGTTCCTGTCAGTATTCTTTCAGCTGCAAGGGGAGGAAGAGCTGGCTCAGGTGGGCTTAAACGGTAAAGAAATTTGTGTAGCTGGAGAAGTCTGTTGGGTGGAGTTCAGGAGTGGCTCGATCAGGTTTCACCTCTGTGTCTATGCAGCCTTTCCCAGCTCTGTGTGTTAGTACACTGGCAGACTGGCTTCCCCGTGGGGCCTGAACTCCTGCAGCTGGTTGAGTCTTCTAGAGCCGGAGACAGCTGCCCGTTCGCAGACTACCTCCCAAAGCTCCGACTGGACCACTTGAGGGCAGGGTCCCTCTTAACCAGTTTCTGAACCCGCCCTGCTCTGGCCCCAGGCCTCAGCTGGGCCCTCAGAGGGCAGAGACACTTGCCCAGATGCTGGGCAACTGGGAGGCTGCGTGGCGGCGCTCTGGACCCCAGGGCCCTGTGGGGTGAGGGGTATCGGGCTTCCCAGCCTTTCTTCCTCTGCTTCCTCAGACCCCCAGATTGACTGGGCAGAGGGGTGGATGGGGTTTGTGAGACTGGGTGTCCCAGCTCATTCATCGAGTTAAGAAATATCTTCCGCGGACCTGCCACAGGCCTGGCTATGCCGTGCTGAGGGGCAGACACAGTGAGAAGTGCTGTGCAGAGGGGTGGGGACAGCCTGCACGTCCCCGGGGTGGTGACCTCTGTACTGAGGAGGAATGACAAGAAAGGACTGGCCGTGTGACGATCTGGAATTCAGAGTGTCAGGCAGAGGGCAGGCCTGTGTGAAGACCTTGAGGCAGGAACCAGCCTGGGGTAACGGGATGGGATGAATGCAGCCGGAAGGTCTGGGTACCGCGCACGAGGGTTGTGGCTACCGTGAAATTAGAGCCGTCTGCCCTCAAGCTAGGACAGAGTGTTTAGATTGTATTGTAAACACAGTGGGACACTTCATTTACTCCGAATGAATGTATTCTTAGTAAAGAATACAAAGTCTTTATTATAAGAATTTTTAGTTACTTAGAAAATTTGACAGTCATGCAGGAAGCGTGATGGAGTGCAGTGAACACGGTCTCGAACTGGTGGCAGTTAACAGTTCTTTGTGTGTGTGCGTGTGTGCGTACGCGAGTGTGTGTGCGAGCGTGCGTGCGCACATGTGTGTACGTTTGTATGCATGTGTTGCACACGTGTTGACATGTGCACACATGCATGTGGGTGCACACATGTGTGTGCACATGTGGGTGCTCATGTATGTGTGTGTGCGCATGTGGGTGTGCGTGTGGCGCAGAGAGTTCTGTTGGCCTGATAGGAAGCGGGTGACACCCGATCCCTCCACCCAACGCTCCGGCTCATGTCCTGGGCTGAGGATGGCTCTGTTCTCACACCTGGAAACACACAGTGAGTGTCCAGCGAGGCCACAGGGCCGTCCCGGGGGCCTGCCAGCGGGGCTCGCCGGCGTCTGGTGTACGTCTCAGAAGGACCCTGCGGCTGCTGGGTGGCGCTGGGACCCGTGGAAGTTCTTCAGAAATCGCTGGTGCTCCTCCGCTCCCTTGAGTTGGGTGTATTTGGGGACGAGGAACTGGAGACGTCTCAGGAATTTGGGTGGCGCTGCAGCCACACGGAGCCCATCATGGGAGAGGCCCCGTGAAAACGAGTCCACAACCATGGGGCTGATTGTCTCGGTCCCACTACACGTCATCATGAGCCCAACGCCCTGTGTCCCAAGGTCCCAGCGAGGCCTGGCAGGGGGCTGAGTCGAGGGGCCCAGACCTCAGGTCAGCATGTCCCCACCCCCCGCGAGTCAGCTGCCTCAGAGCGGGAGGGGGACCCACTCCCTAGGGTCCTGGGACCCGGCTCAGTGCCCCCCGACCCCCAGAGCTGAGGCCTCTCCCCAGCGGGCGCCCTGCCCTGCCCCCACATGGCCCCCCGGCCGCCGGCCTTCCTTGGGGAGCTGAGCCCGCCCTGCGGGGCCACGCTGGGGGCCGGGTGTGAGGCTGTGCTGCATGTGATCTGGGGGAGCACTCTCCCCCGGCCTTGCTTCCCTTGCCTCTGAAATGGGGGGTCCTGGTGAGGATTGAGCGGATGCTGCAGGGTCCCTGGCGACGGGAGCATGTGTGATGTGGCGCAGCCTCGCGGGATGGGCTGGACAAGGGCAGGCGAGGTGGCAGCGTTTGCCTCCTGGGGCTGCTCTGACACACGACCCCGAGTCAGGGGCCTTAAAATGACAGAAACGTCTCTCTTACAGGCCTGGAAGCCAGATGTCCAACGTCAAGGTGTGGGCAGGGCCGCCTCCCTCCGGGCCTGTCGAGGAGGGTCCTTCCTGCCCCCTCTCCTCCGGGGCCCTGGACAGCCCTCACTGTGGCTGCGTCCCTCCCCTCTGTCCCCTCCCCACCCTGCCTTTCCCTTCTCCCCTCTCACGGTGACTCTCATCTCCTGTGGGATGACCCGTCTCCTGACCCTTAATTACATCTGAAAAAGCCCTTTCAGATCAGGCCACCATTACAGGGTCAGGAGTCGGGATGTGCACGTGTCTTCCTGGGGGTCTCTCTTCAATCTATCACAGCGGTATTTTCGTGTTTTCAGCATTGTGGGCTTTTGCACGTTGTCCCCGCCTTCCTTTTTACTTACTTATTTTGTTAGAGGAGCTGAAGGTCAGCCCACCCCCTCGTGTCGCACCTCCTAGTTTCTCGTTTTTCTGTCTGGCCTTTTCCTGGACTGCACCGCGCCCCCCCCACCCCCGCCCCCACGTTGCCCTGTCAGGACGGCGGCTGGAGAGCCCAGCGCCGTCCCCCTCTTGCCGTCAGACCCCACGGCGCGAGGAGCTGGGAGCCCCACTCTCAGCACGGCCGCCTGGGAGAGCATCCCTGGGCTCAGCGCCGAGGCCTGCGGGGGGCCGCGGGCTCGCTGAGGGCGGGGAGGGCGCCAGGTCCCAGGTCACCGCGGTGGGCAGCTCCCCGGCCGGCTGGCCCCAGCACCCTCCCCGACGCTGCCCTGCTTTCTCACTGCCCCTCGGCTGGAGGCTCCTCCCATAGGTTTGGGGGCATCCCGGGCACCCCATCTTGATGCCTCCCTGCTGCAAGCCGCATCATGCCGTGCCTGGCAGGGCCGCAGGGGTTCAAATCCTGGCTCTACTGGGCGATCAAGGCGAATCATTTGCCTTCTGGCCTCAGTTTCCCCTTCTGTTCGGTGGGGATAATATTAACACCCGCCTCGTTGGGCTGTTGAAAGAGGCTGCATGCACTGTGCTCAGGCGACACCTGCCATACGGTGGGTGCTCACGCAGTCGCTGCATGCTGGCCCCAGCGTTCATGTGGGATGGTCCGGGACTCTGAGCAGCCAGGGCCGTCTCGAAAAAGAACAGCCGCGTGGACGACACACACGTCCCGATTTCAGACATATTACAAAGCTCCGTAATCCAAGCGGCCTGATTCTCAGTGGAGCGGAGGAGAGAGCCGGAAAGGACCCTCACGTCTGGGGCAAGCTGACTTTCCCGCTCAGGGAGAAGGGACGGCCTCTTCAACACATAGCACAGGGACAGCTCGCAGAATTAGCACAGTATTAACTCGAAGTGAGTCAGAGACCTTAACATCAGAGCTAAAACTGTGAAATTCCTAGAAAAACCCCACCGGGAGACTCCGGGTGACCTTGGCTGTGGCAGTGGATTCTTGGGTGTGACACCAAAACATGAACAACAAAAGGAAAAACACATGCTCTGGACTTGATCAGAACAGTTGTCGGCCGCTGCCCTCAGGACGCCCACCTCCCCGCTCCCTAATTGTGAGATTGCAGGCTGACAGCCCAGCTGCGGGTTCCCGCCTGAGAAAAAGGGATGGTGGTCGTGGCCTGTGGGGGGTTTGGGTGCGTCAGTCCCGGGGAAGATCTCGGCTCTGTGCCTGGCACGTGACGTAGGAGCGCTCAGCCAGTATCAGAGGTGGTGATGATGGTCATGGTGGTGATGTGATGGTCATGATGGTGGTGATGGTGGTGATCTGATGGTGGTGATGGTGGTGATGGTGGTGGTGATGGTGGTGATCTGATGGTGGTGATGGTGGTGGTGGTGGTGGTGATAGCGGTGATGATGGTGATGATGGTGGTGATGGAGAGGAGGAGGAGAGGAGGAGTTGCATGAGTGAGAGGCTTGGGGTGGGGTGACCTGTGGTCACAGGGGCGCAGCCGCCCTGTTCCTTTTCCTCTGCAGATTCTTGCTCCTGGCGCCCCGCAGACCAGCTTAGCTCTGCCCTGGCCTCTTGGGTGTGAGTGAGTGTGTGTATATATGTGTGAGTATGAGTGTGTGTGTAGTGTATGAATGTGTGTGAGTGTGAAGGCGCATGAGGATGTGTGTGTATATGTGTCAACGTGAGTGTGCGAGAGTGTGTGTGTGTGTACATGTATGTGAGTGTGAGATTGGCTTCCTCCCCAGGAAGTGGGACCCCCCCATGGGCTCCTGCTGAGCAAAGTCTCTGCTGCGTGGTGGTGGGGCTGCAGCCCCACAGTGTGGGGGCCAGTGCCCCAGCTGTCAGGGGACTGAGAGCACATCCAGTGCAGTGGACGCAGCACAGGCGACAGCAGGCGGCATGGTGGTTAGATGTAGAGGGGACTTCCTTGTTGCCACTGTCCTTAGAGCTGCTCGGGTCTTTGTGCCCAGTGCTTGGGGTCAGGCGGCCTGGCCAGGTGTCCCCTTGTGGGCGTTCCTGCCTGTGTCCCTTTGCTCTGCCTGGCCGGCCGGCCCTGCTGCAGACCCACTGGCCACTGGGCAGAGAGCCTGTGGTGTTGGCTTCGCTTGTCTTCACCGGGAACTGCGTTATTTTCCTCTGCTGGTGTCGTGACGTCTTGTCACCTTTTCCCATGTGTTCTTGCTCTCATCCTTCAGGCCGAGGCCTCTCTGGTGGGTCGAGAGTGCAGGAGGGGCCTGCTCTGATGGTGGCGTGGGCTGGTCCCTCCGTGCTTGTCCCGTCCCCAGAGGGGCTCTCCAGGGCACATTGCCACGAACATGTGTGGCCTCGTCTGCCCTGGACCCGCATCTCAACCTCCACCAGGTTCTCGGAGCAGCCCACATACGTGTGGGGCCCCCAGGAGCTGGGGGTTGAGTTCTGCTCCCCCCCAAGCTGGCCTAACCGCCCCTTGGGGGCCATCACGCTGCTGGCTTAGTGAGGACCAAGGTCACGGGTTGCCTTGGTGGGAAGCTGAAGTCCGGGATGGGGCGGGGTGTCTGGCACGAGGACCAGAGAGGGGTTTTCTGATTGTGCCGCAGTGTCGAGAGGGCGTTCAAGCGAGACGCCCAGACCGTGCCATCTGTCCACCGCAGCTGTCAGAGATGGGGAGATCGGGGTCTCGTGGCAGCCAGGCACTCCCCGCCTGCTCAAGGTCCAGGTCACCTTGGAGACGTGGAAGCCAGGCAGCTACGTTCTGGGGTGGGCTAGGCTGGGGTCTTTTCTCTGAGGTGGCCCTGTGGTTAGATGTGGAGAGGGACTTCCTTGTCCTGGACAGACGGCAGCTCGGGTCTGCACATCCAGTCCCCGGGCCTGGGAGCAGGGCTGAGCCTGAGGCTGGGGAAGGAGGGGCTGTTCAGAAAGCGGGTGCTCTCCGGGGCCGCCCCGGCCGGGCAGACATCTGGAGGTGCGCTGTCCCACACGGTGTTCTGCGACGATGGGATGGTCTCTGTGTGCGCGTCCACTGCAGACAGTAGCCTGGCCACATGTGGCTGCTGTGCTCCAGAAACGTGGCTGGGGGATCAGGGCTCTGAGTTCTAAAAGTTCCCTAATTTTATGGGATTTGAACTTAGCCACATGTGGACGAGGACGCCTTGTGCGAGGCTTTTCCGGAGGGAGGCCAGGCGGGCGGGCCCTTAGGGCAGCCTGGGGCTTTCCTTCAGCAGCGCGGGGCTGCCTGGGTCTCGGCGTGGTTGTGTGTGTGACTGTGTGTGACCGTGTGCGTGGGGGCGTCCAGCCTGCCTGTCTGCCCATGTGGCTGTGCACAGCGGCCTGGAGCCAGGGAGTGGGGTGTCCAGACGCAGGAGGAGCCGCGTGGTCAGGCCCCACCATGCTGTGCCTCCCAGGAGCAGAAGTTCTGCCAGCGCTATGACCAGCTCATGGAGGCTTGGGAGAAGAAGGTGGAGCGCATCGAGAACAACCCCAGACGGCGGGCCAAGGAGAGCAAGGTGCGCGAGTACTACGAGAAGCAGTTCCCTGAGATCCGCAAGCAGCGCGAGCTGCAGGAGCGCATGCAGAGGTGAGTAGGGGCCGGGGTCTCACTTCCTCCCGCCCCCCTTTCCCTTCCGCTGACATCTGTCCAGGACCTGGCTCAGCTTGAGGCCTTGTCAGCACAACAGCCCTGGCCGGTGTGAGATGGGGAGCACAGCGGGGTCTCAAGCTGGTGGCCCAGGGGCCGAGTCCGTCCCTCAGGGCCTGCTTGGCCTGGATGCTTATTTGAAACTTAAGTACGTCTTGGTGGAGCGAGTTCTCCTTCCCGTGTGCCACGGCTGCTGCCTGCCGGCCTCGTTCACCTGACGGCCCCACAGCCCCTGAAGGCAGCTGAGTTTGAGACCCCTGGTGTGGGTGAAAGGGGCAAGGGCTGCCTGGCTTGGAAGCGGATCAGGATGCTGGGTTCATGTGGTGGCCGTGAGGACTCCGTGAGACCCTGTGAAGGCTTGCCCAGCGCACAGTCGGTGTTCGGTGATGCGTGGCTGTGGTTTCCAGGTGTCACAAGTGCTCCTTCCCGGCCCCGGGAACTGGGTGCCACTTTGTCCCCAAGTTACAGGAGGGGAAACCGAGGCACAGATCCCACGAGGCAGAGCTGAGATTTGAACGTGGATCTCTATGGCTGGTGCTCCTGAGTCAGGGTGGGGGCCCCGTACCTGGGGCCGGCCGTGGGGGTGTGGGAGGCATGGCCTGGTGCCTCTGGGGAAGCCGTGGGCTCAGGTCTGTGCCACGGCACCTGCTGCGCGTCCTGAGTGTGTCACTTTGGTCTCCAGCAGGGTGGGCCAGCGGGGCAGCGGGCTCTCCATGTCAGCCGCCCGCAGCGAGCACGAGGTGTCGGAGATCATCGACGGCCTCTCGGAGCAGGAGGTACGGCCGCGGCCCCGAGACGGGGGTGGGGGCCTCAGCAGGAAACGGTGTTCACCCCGATGTTGAAATCAAGGGGCTTGGCCCCAAAGGGCGGGCAGAAGCGACGCAGGGTGTTGGGGAGGAGCCGTTGCCCATGCCCAGGCCTGAAGGATGAGCGGAGACGGGCGTCACCGGGCCCTGGAGGACGGGCCCGTCTGGCAGGACAAGGCAGGGAGGGAGCTGGAGCATTAGCACTCTTGCTCCCCCACCTCCCGCCTCCTTTCTGTGCCCCTCCGTTGGCCGAGCCGACCCCAGGAGCCAGAGGGCTGCGGGTTCTAGGTCTGCCTCTCGGGGCCCAGAACACGGGCGGATGGACCGTTGCCACACACCAGCTGTCCACGTCCAGCAGGCCGGGACCTTCTGCTGGGACCCCAGCCTTGCCAGCTCAGCACGGCCTCTGTCTCCCCAGGGGCCTCCTGGCGGGGCCTGGACAGCTGCAGTTCAGCCTGGGGTCCCTGGCTGGGGTCACTGGGGTCCAGGGCTGGCCGGGAGGTGGAGAGAGGAAGCCTCTGCTCCTGGGGAAGTGCTGGTGCCGGCCTGGCCCCTCCCGGGTCTCAGAGGTCAAGCATCTGACGTGCCGGTCCCCCCACCAGCTGTGTTCCCAATGAAGGGGGTGCCTGGAAGAAGGAGGGACGCGTTCCTCCTCCCCGGGACTTCTGTCCAGATGGCACGGGTTGTGGCTCAAAATGAGATACGATTAAAAATTCTCTTCCTGGGTTGCACCAGCCACGTTTCAAGTGCTTGGTGGCCGCGTGTGTTCATGACCCCCACGCTGGACAGGGCAGGGAGTAGACACCCCCATCGATCGCTGTGGAGCCGTCCCTGGGAGAGTGCTGCTCCAGGCGCGGATTCTCAAGCTGGACAGGCTTCAGAGTCCTGGGGGGCCGGGCACCTGGTTTAAGTGGAGGTTTCCTGGGCCCCCCAGAGAGGTTCTGATTTGGCCCGTCTGGGCGGGGCCCAGGGATCTGCATTTTTACCAGGCTGCCTGCCCGATTCTGACGCGGGTAATTCAGACTGTGCGGCCCGTGAAAAAGCCTCTGTTTTAACACTTCGCATGACGGGTCCCTGTTCCGAACACCATTCAGTCCACAGAAAGCAGAACTCCGAAGCCTTTGCTTACAGCCACACCCACGGCTCTGCCAGCGCCCAGCCAGCCACTGCTGTGGCCTCGTGCACGTCCCACGGCTGCCGCACGTGGGGGCGGTTTGCCCACAGAGCCGGGGGTGGCTGTCTCCCTTGTGTTCCCCTCCGGACGAAGGGCGCCTGGCATCGCGGCTGACTCGGTGTCCCCCTCCCCCCAACGCCGGAGGCCCACTTCCCCAGGTGCTGGCCGCAGGAAGATGCAGCCGCCCTGTCCCCGGGGGATGTTGTGGGGTGGCGTTCAGGGGAGATGGTCAGAAGGGGAATTCAGGGCAGAAACTTCACCTCAGGTTCCCAGGAGGGGATGGGGCTGGGAGAGGGGCTGTCCATCCATCGCTCCGGAGCTTTGGGCAGTCATGGCTCACGCCCAGCGTGGAGGAGGCAGGAAGGCAGCCCATCGGAGGGCCGAGCACGGTCCTGCCTGGGGGAAGTGTGCCTGTGGCCGTGCCTGCAGTCTGCCTTCGTTGGGTTTCTGGGGCAGCAGAGGAGGACGGGGGCAGTGTCGGTGCCAGGGCGGGGGTGGGGGGTGCCCAGGTGTGGGGAGGCCCAGGCCTCGGTGGGGACCCTTCTCCCAGCGGGGAACTCAGGGCTCTGCCCCTGTTTTGCTGCCCGTTCCTGTTTGGATCGTTGATGGGGATTAGAGAGGTGGGATGTGGGAGGCTGGGCGGTGGGTCCTCTGAATGAGCTGACCTTGGCTGGGCTTGGCCCTCGCCTGCCTGCCTGCCCGCCCGCCCGCCCGCCTCCGGAGATGGGTAATTAATCGCCAGTAATGGGCTGGCTGCAGAGATTTGGGGAAATGAGCACAGCTGAGTGGTGGCTCAGGGCCTCTTAAGAGCCATCCCGACGCATTACGAGCGAGCCGGCTTGGCTCCGCCGTGGGCAGCCGGGCAGGCCCGTCCCACGTGGGCACACGGGCAGGTGCTGATGCCAGGGCTGGGGCGGGTGGTTCTGCAGTCTCCCGGCTCCCCTCCCCTGCCCTGTGCCCTCTGAACCTGGGCGGCTGGGCCCTGTCTGCCCGGGTGGTCGGCCCGCTGGGCTGAACATCTCTCCTGCGGTGTTGATGGCGCTCACGTCTCCAAAGGGCAGATTGATGGCTTGCTGTCGCTGCTGCGCTCTGTGCTGAACTTAGAGCTCTGCCCACCCTAGACCTGCCCGGGCTGCCTTTCAATTCTCCCTCCCCCGCATGGCTATATCTTTTAGCTCATCCTTCTCTTTCTCTCTGGTTTCTCATTGTCCCGCTCTGGGTCGAAACATCTGTTCCCCCCAGGCCTCACCTGGGTCCCGAGGGCCGGTGGGACCCCCCTCCTCCCCAGCCCTGCCCCCCCGTCTCGTCTCCCGCTGTCTCAGCCGGGCCCTCTGTCTTCTCCCTTTCCCGCCAGAACCTGGAGAAGCAGATGCGCCAGCTGGCCGTGATCCCGCCGATGCTGTATGACGCCGACCAGCAGCGCATCAAGTTCATCAACATGAACGGGCTCATGGACGACCCCATGAAGGTGTACAAGGACCGCCAGGTCATGAACATGTGGAGCGAGCAGGAGAAGGACACCTTCCGTGAGAAGTGAGTCCCCGTGGTCAGTGTGATGCCCGCTGGGCCACCCCAGACCCCTGGACCGGCTTCCTGGGACCGCGTGACGCGTGGCCCCGAGCTGGGGGCTTCAACACCCGAAGTTTTGCTGAGTTCTGGAGGCTGGAGGCTCAAGAGCAAGGTGTGGGCGGGGTCGGTTCCTCCCGGCGCTCGGAGGGGTCCGTTCTCTGCCCCTTCCCGGCCCCCCGCGGTCCCCAGCAGGCTGTGTCAGTCCTCGGCTCATGGATGATGGTTCCATCTCCGCCATCTCCACGTGGCATTTTCTCCCGTGTGTCTGTGTCTTCTCCTCTTGTGAAGACCCCACTCACACTGGATGCGGCCCACCCACTCCAGCGTGACCGCGCCTTAGCTAATTGCATCTGCAAAGCCATCGTTTCCGAACGAGGTCATATTCGGAGGTTCCGGGTGGACGTGAAATTTGGGGAACACTGTTCAACCCAGTGTAAGGGCGGCCTCCTGGGAAATGGGGCCGCGTTCATCAGAACAACGCGGAGGAGCTGGAGGCTGGACTGAAGCCTGGGGAAGGGATGTGGCTGGTGGCTTTGGGGTTTTCATTTTTCTTTGAAAGTGGCTATTCTCGAGCCCGTCCTCTATCCCTGACACTATGCGAATGTGCTCTGGGTTTTGTGCGTTTGTCCGTCTTATCCCTCATCACAGCGTTGCCGTGGCCATCCATTACACAGGTGAGGAAACGGGCTCAGAGAGGTTAAGACACTTAACAAAGGCCACACAGCTTGCCGATGGAGGAGGCAGGGCTCAGCACAATGGAGAGGCTTGTAAGGGAGGGGATGTAGCCGGAGTGGGGGATAGGGGGGAGGGGGGCTGGCTTTGGAAAGCAGAGGTGGGGCTGAGACACCAAGAGGTGGAGCCTGTGGCTGCCCGATGGAGAAAGCGCTCCTCTCTGACCAAACTCAAAGGTCGTGTCCCAGGGAACCGCATCCCGAGCATGAGCGCCGCTCAGGATCCAGAACCCCCGTGAGGCAAGAGAGTGGGAAACTGAGGCACAGGCGGAGGCCTCGGTGCTTGGCCAGGAGGACGCGTTGGAAACAGGCTCTGCCCCCTCAGCCGTGGGGCCTCCCCTCCGCCTCTGGAGAGGGCCGCATCGCCAGGGGACTTTCTTGAAAGGAGTTGACCGTGTCCCAGCCGCCTGCCGTGGGGCCTGGGCCGGCTCTGACTTTGCAGGGTCTCGTGGCCTCCAAGTGCCAGGCCGGGTCCTGGGCATGGCAGGGTGCTTTATTCCGGGCAGACCCAGGACTCGGAAACCAGGAGGAGCCGAAGAGGGTCCGGGGTGGGAAGTAACATTGCGTAGAGCAGCTCTGCTGGTGCAAACGCCCAAACCCGCAGGGAAATAGAGGATGCGGGAGGGGCGCGCCTCCCCCGGCTCCCGCCATCTGCCCAGGGCCTGCCGCGGGGGCGTCGGGGTTCCGCTCAGAGACGGACCAGCCGGCCCCTCTTTCTGTCCTCGGGATCGCGGGCGTGACTGTTCCGCTGTCACATCCAGTCCTGAGTACGAGGAGGAGCTGTAGCTCGCAGACGCCAAGACTGACGGTGGCGTTAGGGATTTCAGTTTTCTGTGGTACCTTTGATGTTTTGATTTATGCTTTCTTAAAAAAAAAAAATGTGTTTCTGGGGTGCTCTCCGTATTTCAGTCTTTCTGGAGGTGTCGTGTTGCTATTCTGACTTAGTGATTTCACCCTCTGTTAACGTAGTAGCTGCAGGACAGGGCACCCAGGCTGGGCTGGTGTCTGCTGGGGCGCAGCTTGGCAGCCCTTGTCTTTCAAGGAGTGCGGTCCCGGGGCGGCCCGGCGGTGCAGTGGTTAGGTTCACGCTCTGCTTCGGTGGCCCAGGGTTCGCAGGTTCAGATCCTGGGTGTGGATCTAGCACATCAAGCCATCATGTGAGGTGTCCCACATAAAATAGAGGAAGGTTGGCACAGATGTTAGCTCAGGGACAATCTTCCTCACCAAAAAAAAAAAAAGAAAAAGAAAAAAGAGTGTGGTCCTAGTGGTGGTCTCATTTTCAGCAGAACCGGTAGCACTCAGGCCTTTGAAAATCCTGTGCTGGTGGTGTGGAGGTCCACTGCTTGATGGCTCTGTGACCTTGAACAGCCGCTTCCTCTCTCTGAGCCTCAGTTTCCTCATCTGTAAAACGGATGTAGCGGTGGCGCTCCCTGGTGTACCTGTTGCGGTAAATTCTCAGTAAACGCTGGTCGAGGATGTAGGCGGCCATGGGAGAGGGGAGATTCCTCAGTTTGGTTCCTGGTCTCCTGGGGCCCCATCTCTGCTTGGGGAAACCCCGAGGAAGGCATGTGGGGGAAGGAAGTGTCACCGGGGCAGGAGAGGGAGGGGGAGGGAAGGACTCTGTCTGGAAGACAAGGGCGTGAGGCAGTCCCGGCCTCGCAGGCTGTCTGAGGCGGGATCCCGGGCGGGGAGGCCTGCCCTCCGACTCTCAGCTTCCTCCGGGAAGACAGACGCGGCCCTTCCGGATTCTCCAGTGTCTGGTAGGGGAGCAAGGGAGGGGCCCGCTGGCCTCCGGCCCGATCAGCTAGGGGGCCGGATGCTGGCCCAGGCTCTCTCGGGGGGCCCTGGGGCCCCTGCCGCACCAGCAGCCACTTCTCTCCCCAGGGAGGCTGTGGGACGGGGGCACGTCGTGGGGACGGCCAGGCCGAGGCTGGGCCTGGGCCAGCGGCTCCACCCAGCCTCCCTGGGGCCCAGGCAGCCGTGACCCACATCTGCACCCCACTGTCCGCCTGCTCCTGTGGCCCTGACATTTCAGCCCGGCCGAGCCGTGTCCCAGCCATTCTCCCGGCTTTGCGGGAAGCCGCTTGGTGGGGCGCCAGCTCCCCGCCGCCCCCTCTGTTTCAGTCCCTTTTTGCTGCCTCTCCGTGGGCACTCAGGGCCTCTGCTGCCCCCTCTCCTGGGAGGCCTGGCGGCCTCTTGGCCCTGACCTCTGACCTCGTGGGTGGGGGCCCCGCGTAGGCTGGCCGAGGCCCAGCCTCCCAGACCCGCCAGAGACAGAAACAAAAGCGCGTTTTAAAGGGGGGTCCCTACCAAAGAGCTGCATGGCATGTCCTCATTTTTCCTGGAAGCCGCCTCCAGCAGGACAAACAAATATATTTTCAAAGGCGCTGAAACCAGTGACTCACCCCGAGGAACGCCCTCTCCCTGCCGGCCGGCCCGCCCGCCCCAGCCCTTCCCACAGCCCTGGCCGCCGGCTCGGGCCATCCGAGCGGGGCGGCGCCCACCAGCGGGCCCGGAGATGGCAGGCGCCCGCGAGCTCGGCAGCCGCCCCGCCCGGCAGCCCCCCTCGGCCCCGGCTCACGCCCGCCCTCCTCTCCCCACAGGTTCATGCAGCACCCCAAGAACTTCGGCCTGATCGCGTCGTTCCTGGAGAGGAAGGGGAGTGCCCCCCCCCCCCCGCCTTCTCCTGCGGGCAGCCGCTCCGCCGGGCCTGACACCCCCTGCCCCACCTCCCCCCATGGCAGCAGCTTGTCCTTGCCTGTCGGTCCTGCCCCCCCATCCCCAGGAGAAGCAGCCACAGGCCCCGCCCCAGCTTCCTGGCCTCAGGGCGGAGTTCAGGCTGGGAAACCCCGGAGAGCTGGGTGCCAGGTCTCCCTGCAGCCGGCGCTTGGCTGTGGCGGGAGCTCCTTGCAGGTCGGGCACTGGTTCTGGAAGCCACGCTGCACCTGCGTCCCAGTTAAGGCTTCATGGGCAATATGGTGCCCTTCCAGGCTGGACGGGGGCCCTTTCCAGGTCCCCTGATGGTCACTGTGTGCTTCTCACACCCCTGAGGCCGGGCCAGGCGTGTGCCCGGCGAGTCCCCATCCTCTTTGGACAAACGTTCCCTAGAACCGATGCCTGAACCCGATCCTGCCCGCGGACCCGGCCTGAGGTGGGGTCCCTTTTTGCTCCAGCTCCCCCTTGGCATGTAGACACAAGGCATCCCCAGAGAACGGTGACGCCCCCTGCGTGTGCCCACGGGGCTGGGCAGTGCCCCAGAGGCCACAGGTGGGGAGAAGCGGGCTCAGGGGCCAGACGTGGCCCTCTGCTGGAGTCGGCCCTTGGAACCCCACGTCACATCATGGGGTGGAGGGGAAGGGCCCCCCACGAGGGTCTGTCCGCTGGGGCTGTGAGCAGTGTCCTCCTCAGCCACATCTCTCAGAGTCGAGTGTCTGTCCAGCCCCAGCCTGCAGATGCCCTGTGCCCAAGGCTGCATGCTCCCTAGCTGCGGGGGGCGGCCGGAGCAGGAGCCAGCCGCTCCATTGAGAGGGGGCGGTTGTTCCCAGCACCTGCCCTTAAGAGCTGATGACTGCAGCAGGAGGGGGGTGGGCCGTGGGGCAGCAAGGCCTCCCCCGGCCCGAGGATGGCGCAGAGCAGCCCGATGACCAGCCTTTCTCCAGTTAGCACCGGCTGCCCGCTCAGGCGGGTCCCCCGGGCTGGAAGCATGGGCTCAGGAGGGGGTTGTGAGCAGCATGTTTGGGAACCGAGAACAGAGGCCTCCGTGCTGGAGAGTGAACTTGGTGGTGGTGTTGCCGAGAGGCCGCCCAGGCTGACTTGAATAGGGCTTCCAGAAGGGTCTGAAGCAGGGGCAGGCCTGTCCTGATGGGGAGCGAGGCCACCGGCAGGGCAGAGGCTCGGTGGACCGGCTGGCTGGTCCCGTCTGCAGGGGCAGCTCTCACTGGGGGCCAGACCGCCGTCGCCAGCGTGGGAGCGTGCCCTCCTGAGTTGTTCGAGGGGCACTCGACCCCCACGTTGCCCACAATACGGGTGTCTGGCTCCACGACGTTTCTCTGGAATGTGTTGTGGGTTGGGGTTGTCTGGGGAGCAGCCCCGTTCCCGATGCGTCCCGGGGGAGGATGAGGACGGGGCTGGAGGCCCTCAGGAAGTGGCCCCCTCGGTGGCTTCCCGGCCTCGCCCCTCTCTGAGTGTCGCCAAAACGTGTTATATAGTGTCAGTGATGGCCACCAGTGTGAGCAAGCGGCCAGCTCGACCCGGCCCCTCGGCCACAGTGGTGGGCTCATTGCCGTGAGGCTGGCTGCTTTCCCAGGGTGCCCTCTTACTGTCCCGTTTGGACGGGATGTCGGGGTTCGGAGAGGGCCGGTTGCTCACTCAGCAAGTGGCGGCTCCCGGACTCAGACCAGGTCCACGTGGAGGAGACAAGCCGTGAACGGTCCGGGAGATGGAGAGTTGCCCGGGGACCTTAGTCAGGCTGGGTCCACGGAGCTGGGAGGACGCGGCTCAGGGCCCCAAATACCAGGGAGGCAGAAGCTGGGGTGACAGAGAGGACACCCCAGACCGGGTGGGGGCGGCGTTGAGTTTCCCAGCTGGGAGCTGGAGGCCTTGTCCCCCCGGGGCTGGCGGACGACAGCTCTGTGCGGGCACCGTCCCAGGTCCTTCCCGTGTTTACCTGTGACCTCCGCGGGTCCCCGTGACAGCTCTGTGCTGTGAGTGTGCCCCTCACACAGGTGAGAAAACCGAGCCGCACAGAGAGGTTGGGAGCCTGGCCGCGGTCACCCAGCAGCCGGCCCCCTGAGCGCCCTTCTCCCCGCAGACGGTGGCCGAGTGCGTGCTTTATTACTACCTGACCAAGAAGAATGAGAACTACAAGAGCCTGGTGAGAAGGAGCTACCGGCGCCGCGGCAAGGGCCAGGTGAGAGGCGGCTCCCAGCATGCTCAGCGGCTGTGGGTGTGGCCGGCTGACATCCCCGCGTGATGCTCAGCAGTGGCTGCCTGGGTTTGGGCCCCGAAGTGGCGGCCGGGACGCCCTCTCTGGGGTGGGCTGCCCACCCCGGCAGCAGAGACGAGAGCTGGGAGAAATGGCCACTTCCGTTCTCAGCATGGAAAATTCTAGAAGTCCCGGCTTGGTGACCCGTGGTCCCTGTGGGAGAAAAGGCCACATTCCCAGAGCGAGGGCTGGGTTCCCAGGACGACTTGGGCTGGCCCACAAGCTTAACATCTGAAGTTTCAGGAGTTCTTTGTGTTTATTTTAACGAACATTTGGGAGAAAACCATAACAGTACTGCCGCCTGCGGTTTCTCGCTTGGGATGCGGCTGGACTGTTCAACTTAGAGCAGGGCTTGGCCGACTGTGGCCCGCCACCTGTTTTTGTGAATAAAGTTTTATCGATGCACAGCCACTCCTTCGCGTAGTCGCGCTGTGGCAGCTTTCCAGCTACAACCGCTGAGTTGAGCCGCGATGACAGAAGCGGCGGAGCCTTTTATTTACTCTCTGATCCTTTGCAGGAAAGGTCTGCCTACCTCTGAGTTAGAGGAGAAAGAAGATGCTTTAACAAAATAGTCAGTAAATAATGTGAAAGACGCCGGGGGGTCAGCAGCACACGTTTTAAAGGGGCTCCTGGGTGCTCGCGGCTTGGGCGACGGAGTGAAGGGGTTGTGTCTCCTCCAGGCTGCTGGGAATCGGCCCAGAGCAGGTTCCGGGAGCGCGAGGCGGGAGGAGGTGGGCCCGTCCGCAGGCGGAGGGCTTGGCCGCGCTGCTCTGAGACGCTGGACTGTGGCTGGGGAAGCCCGTCCTTCCCAGGGTCTCGCCGGGGGCCCCCCGGGGGAAGTGACGCAGGCCCGTGGGCGTGAGCTGGGGTGAGAGATCGGACCCTGTGGTCATCTCTGGTGGGTGCCCCCTGACATTGGGGTCTCCGAGCTCCCCCTGGGCGGCCCGCCTTCCCTTTCCCAGCCTGGCGAGGGCAGGACCCTGAGGGCATCAAGTTAGCCATCACCAGTGGGGTCTCAGTGTCCGCTGAGATCAAGTCCCACAGCCTGTGACGGGTTGGTCCACGCGGCCTCCTAACCCGCACGCCGTGTCTCCTTTCTTGCTTTCCGGGGACTGTGCGTCAGCTACACGGGCCACTCTCCTGCTGGCTAAGCCTCCTGGGAGGAGGAAAGCGAACTTGTTGACGGGGGGCGTGGGCAGCCCCTCACCGTGTTCTGAGTATCGGGCCAGAACCATCAGGACCGAGCATCGGCCCTCATTGGCCCGGATTGTTGAGGGGTGGCTGCATTTGGTTTGTGGATGGGTTTTCCTCTAGAGCTTTGTGTAGCCACAGTTGGCCAGCTAACAGGTGTGTAAAACCGAGGCTTCCTGGCATGGAGCTAGTTAATTCCCAAGACCGAGCTGTGGCGTTTTAGAAATTGAAGTGCATTCAGGAATTATTCCAGACTGAGAGGCAAACACTCAGGTAAATGCCAGGCAGGGAGCATAAATATGCTGAGATAATGAGAGGCAGGAGGGAGTGGTGGGGACTGTGGCAAAATAGATGGGGAGCTAAAGGCCTTAGATTTATTTTAAAAACATTGTTAGGCATTTGTTGAGCGCCTCCTGGGTGAGTTCTCTTGCTAGTCTCCCCAGTTCCCCCATGCTGCCTTTGTGGGGGCCCTGTGGGTGGCCTCACGAGGCTCTTCCAGGTGGCTAGGCTGGGGGACCTGGAGCAGAAAGGTTTCTGAGTCAGGTGGCAGGAGATGGGGCCCAGCTCCTCATTCTCTGCTGGGAGCCACATTTGCACGGAGGGAGGTGAAGACGGTGTGTGTTGAGGTCGTGTAAGGAGGGGTTATCCCTGGACGAGTCTGGGGGTGGGGTGCCCCACATCTCTGGTCCTGGCTGCCACACTTTTTGCTTTGTGGCATTAATGCCTGGCTTGTCGACTTCTTTGTCCACGGGACGTTTGTGTGCTGGGCATGGGGCTCTGTGCTGGTTGTATAGGCCAGGTGGACACAGGCGGTTCCCAGACAGCACGCCAGTGGGCGCCAAGGAGTGAGGGCCCCAGAGATGAGCTTGAGGAGCAGCCCCTCGGGTGGACAAGGATGGAGGCGAGGGTGTCCTGGGCAGAGGGAACGGCAGGTGCAAAGACATGGGGGCCTGGGCGAGAGCACGGTGCCCCCAGAGTCTTTGGGACGGGGGTCTCAGTTTCCTCCAGGGCTTGAAGGAAGGGGTGGAGAAACATCATGGGACCTTCCTTCTGTTGCTTGTTTGATGAGTAAATAGAGATGTTTCTCTCCTCCGTGGAGAACAGATGTGTGAACGTGCCGATAATGACAGCTCGCACTTGACTCTGTGTCCGTAGGAGGCAGTGGGGAGTGGTGAGGCCTGTGGCTAACTAGAGAGCTTGTACCACACGTTGGCTCCAGCTGACTCTTGGCCGGGTGGCCTTGTTTTACCAGATCTGATTTTTGTTGATGAGCTGGAAATCTGGATTTATGTGAAATTGTCTGGTTTTTGAATCTTAGGTCGTGTAAAAAACGATAACAGTAAAACACTGCATAGGCTGAATAACTCACATTTGCTCTTGGAATCTGCCCTCAGCCTCCAGTGTAAGACCTCTGGGTTAGAGCGTGGTCCGACTAGGGGAAGAGGTGATGAGGGGATTGTGTGACTTGGGACAGAGGCCGGGTCTGGCCGGGCCCTGGGGAGCCTGAGAAGTCTTACAGGCGAGGAGTCACGTGTTGCCTCCTTTCCTCTGGGTCGTCCCGGGTTAGCCGTGGCATCGGCAGCGCTGAGAGATGGGGCTGCTCTGCTGACTCTGACCCCCTTTCAAGCTGGTGGCTCCCAGGATGGAGAGAGGACGCCTCTGAGCTCTGCCCGCTGCGGGAAGAGAGAGGAGAGCTGGGCGGGAGGGCCGTCTGCCTGGGAGAGGCCGCGTCCTTGGGGCTCTCCTCCCTCAGCCAGCCGGGCTGCTAATGAGGTGCCGGCGCGGTCCTGGCTCTGCCAGCCCCGGAGACTTACGCAAATCCTGGGAGGGCTTCTGTGCCAGGCGGAGCCACTGCCCTCACAGCCACCCACCGGCCCTGGTCGTAAATACGGAAGAAGTGGGTCAGCCCGTGCGTTCACTTGGGGCCGTAGCTGCCCTCTGCCCCGTGACAGTGAAGTAAACGGCAGGCGCAGGCCCCCAGCCCCTTATGTGAATCTGAGGTGCAGTGACCGGAGCCAGCCTGAGCTTTCTCTCCTTGGTTTTACAAGACCCGTGATGCCACTGACAGATCTCCCCATGGGAAGGGCGGGGGCTCCCGCGGCCTGCAGTGGGGGCATGGAGATGGAGGGCGCGGGGGGCGTGGTCTCCGGGGGCTGATCCTGTGAGCAGACGTGAGGCAAGCAGGCAGACCCTGTGCTCCGTGTGGCCAGAAGCGCCCGGTGGGAATGGGCGGGAGGATGACTCACCTCGGGCCGGAGCCGTCGCCCTCTGCCTGGGGTGCACGGGGCACCGATGACAGCACTGCTGTCCCAGCCTGTGTCTGACCCACGCTCGTCCCACCCCTGGCAGCTCAGGATGTGGGATCAGGCGGGAGTCCCAGGCCACAGGGGTCCCTGCCCTGTGCCACCATCCCTGGCAGCCTGCCCCGGGTCATTTGTCCCCGCTTCTCCCTCTGACCCTGCTCTACTTGTGGGCTTCTGGGTGCACAGCACAGCCTTTGCGCCTTGTTTCCTTGGGCCACCACAGGAAGACAGGTAACCGGCGGTTCCCAGCAGCGGAGACGTGGAGGCCTCAGGGCGGGGCTTCAGCTGCAGGAGGGGCCCCCTCTCGGCACATCTTCTCGTGGGACGGAGGCCAAGCCAGCAGTGGGGGTTGTACTTCTTGAGGGGAGCAGCTCAGGCTCGCTCCACCTCCTGGGTCCCCCTAGTTTGGGAAGCGGATGTAGGTTGTCTCAGCTGATCTTCACTGGACCCCTTGTCGGGGGGACACTGGGAGGCCAGGGAGGCATCGGAGCCCTGTCGGCTGCCCGGGCTGCTCGGCCCTGCGCGGTGAGGGGACGGCGCTGCTGCTGACCACCAGGGTGGTGGTGATGATGATCATGGTGGTGCAAACAGCGACAACGATGGCGACGTTCGCTCCGTGCCGGCTGTGCCTGCCGGGCTCTGTGCTCAGGGCTCCGTGCGTTTCAACGCTCAGCAGCTTCGCGGGAGAGGCCCTGTGCTTGCGCTCGCTGCACACATGAGCGACAGAGGCCAGGGAGGTGAAGGAGCTCCCTGAGGAGTCTGAAGCGAGTGGCAGATTTGGGGGCTGGGGGACCCCAGTGGTCCCGTCTCCAGCGTTTCGGCTGAGCAGCAGGCCTGGGTGACCTCTCGGCCAGCTGCGTTGCTCCGTCTGTGCAAGGCTCTGCCAGATCCTGGGGCAGACAGGGCTGCGGGTGGGACGTGCCCCGCTGAGCCCCATGTGGGCCTTGGCCCCCTCCCCTATCTGTGTCTGCGTCTCCTTGCACTGGGACCGTGCCTCTGCCCCTGGCCCCCGGATGCCCCTGGCCCCTGTCTCTTTCGGGAACCCTTTGCCGCCCGCACCGCGTGGTCCCTGCAGACACAGAGACCTGCCTTCTCTCTGGTCTGTCCTTTGTGCAGTCTCTCCAGCACCCCCGGCCCCGTGCCCGTCCCCCCAGCCGCAGGTGGCCTGTGGCCGCAGAGGCCGTGGTGCCTCCCTGTGGTCCTGGCGTGGTTCTGGTGTCCTTGGGGCCATGCCGATGCTGAAGACTGCCACGAGGGGCCATCGGCCCGGCAGATGCTCCCAACGGGCCCTCCAGCCTCATTTCTTCAAGGTCAGTCCCCACTCCCCTACCGAGGAGTTGACGCACCATCTTGTGTTCCACCCAGGGGCATTTATTGAGTGCCTACTGCATGTCCGGGCTACAGGGCTTTACCTGAGAGCCACATCAGACCTCGATCCCTCAGGCAGTCAGAGCGAGGGCGCCAGCCGAGCCCACTCCCCTTGACACCTCACAGACCGAGCCGATTAAGAGCCGTTGAGGTAGACTCGAGGTGGGACTTTCGAGGTGTCGACAAGTAAGCACAGTGGCCCCTCTCCAGCCGGACAATCCGCTGGCCCCTGTGGAAGGTGCGCTTCCCGAGTTGGCTGCTCATGGCCCACGCCCAGAGACGGGAGTGCCCCCATGGCCTCCCCAGTGCCTCCCCTCACCGTTCCTGCCTCCAGGGATCGCAGTGGGTCGGGACGAGGGGAGGCTGCCTCAGGCTCTGGGCTCAGGGGGCCAAGGCCTGAGGTCATGTTTCGACCATCCCCTGGCGGTGCACACGCTGTTGGTCTGGGCCCCTCCCAGCACCTGGCCCAGGGGGTGTTTACTGGGCAGGCTCCCGGGAGAGGGGATGGGAGCGGGGTGGCAGAAGGGGAAGTTGAGGCGACCATCTGGGGGTGCTTTGGAGCTGGCATGGCCCGCCGAGGTGTCCTCAGGTGGCTGAGAGGGCCCGGCCTCAGCCCACAGGCGGAGGGCATCAAAGCAGCTGGGCCGCGAGCCCTTTCTAAAAGGGGCCCAGCCAGGCCGTCCTGAGGGCATTCCTGCGCATCTGCACACTGCCCATCACAGGGGTCGGAAACTGCCGGCCGCTTAACCACGGCACGTGCTGCAGATGCCGCCCCATCTGTTCAGGTGACAGCTGCTTGTCACTCACCCACACCGTTTGTCTGTCATTCAGCGGTCGCGTCTCGAGAGCGCAGGGGTTGTAAGAGTGGAATATGGGACTCCTTGGTGAGAAGCTTTAGCCCTCGGGCGACCTGCTACCCCACCGGAGGACAGGCCCCGTGTGTCAACTGTCCCCCAGCCGGCCGAGGCAGGGGATGTGTGCTGGCCATTCAGAGTGCCAGGATGGCCTTGTTTACCAGAGGGTGCTGTCCACCTTCCGGAAGCTTCTCTGTATTCTGAGAGGGAGACGCAGGCGCAGCCCTAGACTTTCGGGATGCCAGCCCCTTCACGTCCAGCGCCAGCCGGACCCAGGCGCCTGAGCTCTGGCAGGTGAGGGCCGAGCCCCTCCAGGCCCCCGGCCCCCGAGGCCCGGCCCGTGAGGCTGGTGAGGCTGGCTGGGCTGAGGCCCGAGCGTCCTCTTCCCGGGCTGAGTCGCCGGCTGAGTGGGGGCCGGCTCGGAGCCCTGGGTGACGGCACAGTGGTTTGTAGTCCATGATTCACGGACGGAGGGGCCACATTATCCCGACTGACTGCAGAACCGGAGCCCAGGAATGCTGTGGTCAGTCGTCGGCCCAACTATGCAGACCGGCAGGGCGTTGAGAATGTGAGGCTCAGGCGGGCCAGCAGTGAGCGTGGGACGGCTGCCGGGCCGCCCGGTGGTGCTGCTCGGGGGGCCGCGCTGCGGAGGGGGCGTGTACCCCAGGGTGAGCGCTCCCGCTGGGCTCGTCCGGCCCCAGGGTGGTGGCCGCGTAGGGGAGGGGGCAGCTGGGGAGCTGGTGGGGTGGGTCTCCTTGCAGCCGCGTGATCTGTGGTCTCTTCCCACAGAGCCGGGCGCGGGGACGGGAAAAGTCTGTGCAGTCCAGCCTCCCGGCCTGAGGGGCGACGTCCAGGGCGGGGCCACTTCCTCCCTCGTGCTCTCTGGTCTCTGTGTCCTGTCGCTGCGTCCACTTCCCCACCTCGGGCCAGGCCGCAGCCCCCGCGTCTCCTGCACGTTCCCGGGTTCGTCGCCCTCTGTTTCCCTGTGTCTCTCTTTATCCCAGCACACGGCTGTGTCCGAGTTTCTTTCTCTGTCTTCCTCTCTCTCCCTCAGCTCTCTTTGGATTTCTCCTCTGTCTCAGTCTCTGACTCTGTCTCCCCCCTCCACCCACACCCCTTCTCCCGTGCATAAGTCTTGTCTCTCATGTTCCTTCGTCTTCCTCCTCTCTCTGATCCTCTTCCCAACGCCCCCCCCCCAGCCTCCTCTCCCAGCTCCTTGCCAGGGACAGGTGGCCTTGTTCCGGTTGCTGTGCGCTCCAGAGGCCTCTGCGCCCCGGGCAGCTCTCGTGGGGGACAGTGTGACCGCGAAGGCATTCCAGGGCAGGACCAGCCGAGCGCCATCCACGGGGGAGGGCAGCCGCTCTGCGGTTGGTGCTGGTTCCCAGGGCCTGGCCGCCCCCTGGGCCGATGAAATCACTTGCCCCCTCTCCATGGTGAAGTCTGGCAGGGACGTGTGGCAGGCCAGACACAGGCCACATTGCCTCCAGGTTGGGCTGTGCTTTCCTGGCCGAGTGGGGGACGTGAGCACTTGCATCCTGTCCCAAACCGCTGTCCAGGCTGGGGTGGGGGAGGGGGGCTCCCGCCTGGGGGTCAGTCTGGCTTTCCTGGGCGGCCAGGCCTGCAGGAGGCGGCTGTTTCCGCTCTGCTGGGGGCCCGGTGGGCGGGGCGGGCTGTGTCCAGAGGCAGGGCCCCATCCAGCAGATGGCCCTGGTCCCTGCCCAGCTTCGTGCTCAGTGGGGGATCCGTGGGAAGCTCCTCAGACCCCCAGACAGGTCCTAGGACGCTGTTCTCCAGAGGGCGGTGAGCGGGCAGCTCCCGGAGGTGGGGAGGCCAGGCTCCAGGACCTGCATGTTTCGGGGGAAGATGCACATGGCCTTGTCGCAGTTGGGGATGTGGTGGCAGGGAACCTGCGGCTCCCGCCAGCCCACCTGAGCAGCCCCGTGGAGCAGGTGGCAGGGCAGAAAGATGTGAGCTCCACCCGGAGGGTGCACGTGCGTCTGTCGGGCCCCAGGTGAGGGCTGTGGGTACTGACAGACCTCTATCCCGACCCCCTGAGCTGGGCCGGGAGTCGGGGACAGCTACCAGAAGAGCAGCAGCCGCAGGGGCCTGCGCCAGCGTGAGCCGCCATAGGAGCGGCTCCGGCAGGCTGACAGCCAGCTGAGCGCCCTGGCTGGTGGGGGCCATGTTTGAGTCAGTCTTGGTGTACCTGCACAGTACCAACATTCTAGGTTTTTCCACAGTGAACCAAACAAATGAGGTCCCCAGAGCTGACACGCCCACGTGGGAGAGGACAGCACACGAGGAAATTAGCGTGATGACCTGTCGGGGTGGGAAGCTGGAGTGGGAGGCAGCTGATGGCAGTGGGTCAGGGAGCTGACCCCGAGGCTTCTCTGGGGAGGTATGATTTGGGCCCAGAGCTGAGCGATAAGAAGGACCTGGCCAGGCAGAGGACACATCAGGTGCAAAGGCCCTGAGGTGGGAGCACAGGTGGCATCTTCCAGGAGCAAGGTAGGCGGGGACTGGACTTCGTGGTGTGGCCCACTGATTTTACCCCAGGTGGCAGGACAGGATCAGACAGATGCTTCAAACAGAGGCTTGGCTGCCGTAGCCACCCGTCTGCTGTGGAGGCAGAAGGGGCGTCATGGTACGTGTTCCATGTCACTCAGGTCCTGTTGACACGTCTATTTGCAGTGGAGCCCTGGGAAGTGTTTACAGGCAGCTCCCCGGGAGCAAGGGCCCGATTCCTAAGGCTCCCGCCACGCCCCATTCCAGGCCACCGCGGAACTGGGAAGGGACGCGTGTAGCATGTTACATCCTATTTCTGAGCCGGGGGTGCAGATCACAGCCGAACGTAGTCAGATAATTGGGGAGGGAGGCATTCTGAGTGCTCAGCAGCTCCGTTTTTACTGTCGTCCTTGAACCGTAGGCGTGGGTGGAGCTGGTAGTGACGGGCTGACTAAGGACGGAGGTGGAGTCTGCCCTCATGGCCGGTGTGGCGGCTCCAGCACACCCCTGCCTGCATGTCTGTAAAAGATGGCGGAGAGGGCAGGACCCCGCCTGCGCTTCCCCAGGAGGCACGGACGGACTGGATGGAAGGGGAGGGCCCAGTGTAGGGAGGGGTGACCCACAGCACCCTGTGTCTTGGCTCTGACCTCTGACCCCACTTTTCCCAGCCCTGGGCTCCTGGACCCCCTGCCGCCACAGCCAGGAGATGGAGGGTGCCAGGAGGGCAGGCCCCGCTTGAGAGTTGCTCCCTGCAGCCCCTTGCTCGTAGTACATGCTCAGTAAAGTGTTTGTTGAGTGAATGAACGAGACCGTGCTGTGGGGGGTGTGGCTGGGTCTCAGGGAGATCTCCAGACATGTGAGGACCGACCGTGTGAGCACTGAGCTCAGCAGCTCCCACCCATGTGGCTGGCGCCGCCTCCCCCGCAGCTACCCCACTGCCCGGAAACAGGGCGGGACACGTGCCCCCCACCCCACCCCCACCTTCTGGAAGAGCCAGCGGGACACCACTCGTGTTCCTGAGCACAGGCATGAAGCCGCCCTGTCCCGGGTCGTCCGGCGAGCGCAGCGGGCGCCTCCAAGTCGGTGTGCTCTGCTCGTGCCGGTCCCCTCCCTGAAACGTACTCTCTCGTCCCTCTGCCCAAAGCCTGTAGGGACTTGGCTCGGGGGCTCCTGTGCTGCCGAGGGGTCCTCCCTGGTCCCCAAGGTGCAGGGTGACTCGCCGCCCCGTGTGTGGCGTGCCGCGCCTTCTTAAGTGCCCTCACCACTCAGCCTCACTGCCCTGTTCGAGTTCCTTCTCTTCGTCCACTGAACTGCCAGCTCCCTGTGTGGCTTGGTGTCCTCAAGAACACGACCCACGGACACGTGGGTGGTGTAGTTCGGCTTAAATGGGGATGAGGTGGAGCCTGTGATCCCCTAGCCCAGGGTGGGAGGCAGAGTACCTGGCTGTAGGATCTTGCTTAGAAAATGCTCTGTGACCTTGGGTGAGTTAATTAACCTCTCTGTGTCTCTGTAGTCTCATCTATAAAGCAGAGGTGATACTCAGGTTGTTGGGTGGACTCAGTTGACAGGTATGAAATGAGAGGACGGCCTCAGCAAGTGTCTGTCATGCCCAGCAGGCATTTGTTGTTGTTACTCGTGTTGTTTTCCATGCCGCCCCCGCTCTGGGCCTTGGGCACCGCACAGGCTGTCACAGGCTGCTTGTCCAGCGCTCGGCGCTCGGGAAGCAGGGTCCCTCAGGGACTTGGCCTGATGGCTCTGGCTAACCAGAGACGCGGTCAGGGTTTCGCAGAGCCCGTGCTGTGGTTTGGAGGGACGTTCCCAACCGAGCGCTGGGCATGGAGCCCGTGGCCGGCCTGCCCGTGGTGTGTGTGAGAGGCAGAGGGAGACCCCTGTGAGCCCCGGGGCCATCTGAGACTGTGGGTTTGGCTTCTGGTTCTTCTGCCGGGTCCGCAGGTGGCACCGCTGCCGAAGCGGGGTCCTGGGCGTGCTCTGTGGAAATGCAGTCTCGGGCCCGCCCTGGGCCCCCCGACTGGGAATCTGCATTTCCCAGTGTCCCCAGGTGATGCGTGCGCATGACCCGGCTGGAACAGCGCTGGTCTGGGGCAGGGGTGGGCAGACGGCTCGAGGGCGAGGGCCAGCTCCACCGCCACCTGTTTTTGTAAATAAGACAGCCACACCCATTTGTTTGCGTCTTGGCTGCTTCCACACTACAAAGGGCAGGGCTGGGTCGTTGTGACAGAGACGGTGGACCAGTGGCCCTCAGGACGTCCCGCCCCGGCCTCGCAGGGAAGTTCGCCGGCTCCTGGTCTGAAGCGCCGGTTCTCAGACTGGGCCGCTGCAGGAATGGCCTGGGGACCGCTGCTCGTGAGCCTTCGCACACGGCGGGCACGGGGGCGGGAGTGTGACCCAGGGCACTGGCCGGGGGCTGGGAGAGGGGGAGGGGGCAGGCAAGGGTGGTGGGGATGGCGGGAGCAGGGCCAGGCCAGCCAGGGTCAGTCAAGGTGAACTCCAGCTCCAGTGTTGAATCCTGGCACTGCTGTCACTCACCTGCTCTCTGCCTCAGTTTCCACTTCTGGTACGGGGGAGTTTTACGGGGGTCGGTAAAGGAGACGACTGCAGTGTGGAGACAGGGCCCACATGTGGCCGTTTGTGTTTAGTGCTATGACGTGGGCCCTGAGTCAGGGAGGGGGTGACGGGCCGTCCAGGCCGGTTGGGGCTCAGAGAGCCTTGAGTGGGGTTCAGGGCCGGCTCGGCAGAAGGGGCGGGCAGGGATGACCGCAGAGCCCCGCCCGAGGCCCCCGACGGTGGCCTGGTGGTGTCGGGTGAGTCTCTGTGGGGGTTTGGGGACACGGGTCACCCTGCTGCCCCTGGGCCGTCAGCTTCCTCCCTCAGAGCCCGTGGGGCTCTCTCAGCCTCGGTTTCCCTCTGCGGGGTGGAGCCGTGATCGCTGCCCTTTGCCGCCTGCAGTTGGCTGAGAACGTTAGTGGGGTGTGTTTGCAAGGAGCTTGGTGTGGCGCCGGGGAGGCCGGCCCCGTGATGAGCCCCCCAGTTGCTGTGAACGTGGCTGTTTTCCTCCTCACTCTCCTCCTCAGCGGGCGGAGCTGGGGACAGAAGCCCCGGCGGCATAGGGCAGCGCCGGCCTCTTCCCGGGGGGTCGCTGGGGACTCGGGCTCCGAGGGTCAGGAGGAGAGCGGCGGCTTGGAGCCGGGCGGGCGCACAGCCCTTGGGAGCTGGGGGCGCTGGTGGGGGCTGGGGGCGGGGCAGTGCTGCTTGGGCCCTGTTGAGTGGTGAGCCGCGTCTGCTGGCCACGCTGGGGCAGACAATGGCCTGCCTGCGGCCCAAGGATGAGCTCCCAAGGGGCAGGGAGACCCACCCACTTGGACCCCCGGGATGAGGGCAGGTACTCCAGGAGGGTGGCCGGGAGTCGGGCCATGTGGCCACTGGTCGGGGGGGACAGCAAGAGGAGCTTCGAGTGAAGCTGTGGCCGAGGTGGGGGGGTCCCAGGGGGTGCCCAGCTCCCTGCATTGGAAAGCCCAGGCCCCAGGTGGTGGGTCCCGAGTGTGTGGAGGCTGGGCCTATCTTGACAGGTGCCCATGGCAGCCACGCCAGGTGGCTCATGGGGCAGGCATGCTTCCCACCCGGCCACGCCATCTCCCTCCGCCACCCTGGGTCCTGGTCCTTGAGCTCCCATCAAGCCGAGCAGGCACACCATGTTGGAACAAACCGGAAAACCTGTCTGACCGGCTCCCACCTTCCAGGCCAGCTCCCAGACCTGCTTCCCGTCGGGCGAGAGGCCACGGCCCTGGCCATGGGCAGGTTGTGCCCCAGTGTTTGAGGGTTTTGGTGGTGGTGGACAGGCCAGTTCAGGGCCACCAGGCCACCTGTCAGAATCGGCAGTGACACGGTGGGGGGAGAGGCTGTTTTGCCGGCTGCCTCTCCTCTTGTGGAATTGAGGGGTTTCCTGGGGGGTGGGGCCGACCCGAGCCAGAGGTTCCAGGGTGGACGCTGCTGTGGCATCAGAGAGCCTGGGGTCCCCGCGGACGAGCAGACCCTTTCTCTGCACCCAGCATCCCCAGGGTGCATGTGCCTGCCCCTGGGCCCTCGCATCCGGAACCATCAGTCCCGGCAGCAGCGGGTCCTGGCGGGGTGCAGGCCGGGGGCCTTGTGCGCTGGGCGGGCGCAAGGTGGGGCCTTGTGCGCTGGGTGGGTACGTGTCTCTGGTGCGGAGAGAGGATGCAGGGAAACGGATCCCCTTCTCCTCTGCTGGGTCTCTTTCCTTGGTTTGAGAACGGTGTGACTGGGCCCCGGGACACACTGAAAGCCTTTCCAGCGGGTTGGGTTTCATTTTACTTGGCTCAGCGGGACGGAAGGATGGTCTAGTCTGGTAGCGGCCCGATGAGGGAAATTGGGGGTGGCCAAGAGAATCGGTGTGCGCTCGGAAAGAAATCAGTCGGGACAGAAAGGAAGTCGGGCGGCGGTGCGGGAAGGAGCCGGCTGCCCCAGCTTCCTCCCATGCCCTGGTGAGGGCAGGGTCAGTGGCCGGTGTGGTTGGGCCAGGCTGGCCAGTGCCCGCCTCCCTGACCCCCCCCCCCCCTGCTTGGAGGTGATGAAAGAGAGGCCTCGAGCCCCTTCGATGCCCCTGGGCTGCTCCTCCCCTCGGGGACGAGGTGAGAAAGGGGCCAGGCCAGCAGCAGCAGGAGGGGCCCGCATCACCGCTGCAGCACCTTGGACGGGCCCGGTGAGCCGGACACCCCCGCTCCTGCCCATGGTGCAGACGTGGAGACAGGCCTGGAGAGGCGGCCTGGGCTGTGTGGGGGGCGGGCGGGGCTGGGGCATCGGGGGTGCGCCCCAGGCTCCCCAGGCCCCTCCCGAGGTGTTGGTGGCTTCTGCTGCACTTACATGCCCATGCCAGATGCTGTTCTAAGAGCTCTTTATGAGTTTCCTTACTTCAGCCTCCTGGGCCCTGGCTGAGGTGTAGGTGTGCTGAATACCCCTGCTTTCAAGGGGAAGAATCAGAGCACAGAGAGGTTAAGCCCCTCGTCTGGGGTCACACAGCCACCAAGTGGAGGAGGCAGGAGTCAAACCCAGGCATCTCATACTGGTGCTCTCTGCACCCCATCCCTCACCTCCCACCTCCCCAGGCCTGTGGGCTGCCGGACCCCATGTGCCTCCTCTCCCAGCTCGCAGCAGCCCAGGGGGCCTAGGGTCCGAGCCCTCGCTCCCCGCGGCTCTCCTGGCTGCCTCCGCTATGCTGCCTGCCCTCCTCCTCGCTCGCCCAGCCCAGGGGCGGCGACCCACCTGGCTCACTGTTTTCCTCTCCCCCTGCCCTCCCCGGGGGGCCGGCAGCAGCAGCAGCAGCAGCAGCAGCAGCAGCAGCAGCAGCAGATGCCCCGGAGCAGCCAGGAGGAGAAGGAGGAGAAGGAGAAGGAAGAGAAGGAGGAGGAGAAGCCGGACGTGGAGAATGACAGGGAGGAGCTGACCAGGTGAGGCCCCGGCCGCCACCCCAGGGGACGGGCTGCTGCTCTGTTCTCAGCGCACGGCGACCCCCAAGGGCGGTGCGCGAGGACGTGGCGCTGTGGCGCCTGTGAGCCACCTGCCGGGAAGGGAGAGTTCTCCCTTGTCCGCTCTGCTGTCCCCACGGCCCCCCTTCCGGCAGCCGGCTCCCTCCCTCCTGCCCCTCCTTCCTCCCGCCCGCCCTGCTTTCTCAAACCCTCAGAGGCCTTGAGACGGAGAGCTCGGAGAGCTCGTAAATCCAGGCAGCGGCTTTGGAACTCTGCCGCCCCGTCTCCTCCCCTCCTGGCCAGGCCCCGCAGACGCGGGAGGAGGGGGCAGAGAGCCCGCGGCAGGACTAGGGAGCCCGCCGCCTCCCTCGCTGCTAGAATGGTCGCTGTCAGCGTGAGTTCTTGCAGACGGAGGCACGGCCTCGCCTCGGGCCTCAGCCTCCCGCGCCTGCCGGGCGCTCAGAGCAGGGGCTGGCACGGCCAGCGCAGCCCCCTGGAACGGGCTCAGGAATGTGACTCCGAGAACATCTGGCTGCGTCCCCCCGTCTCCCAGAGGTCCTGGCGAGGGCCTTCGGGATGGTGGATGGAAGGCGGAGGTGCTGAGTCGGAGCGGCCCGCAGTAACTCTCCCAAACGGCTTCTGAGCAAGCCCCGGCCGGGGGTGGAGGTCACGTGCGCCCCACACGCCTGGCTCGGCCTGCGTGCCAGCAGGAGCTTTCCTCCGCGTGTGCCGTGGGGCATGGTGGCCACGACGATGCCACAAGCAGAAGAGGTGCCGTCCATCGAGCCCAGCGGCCTGTCTCTGGGGAGTCAAGTGGCCTGATAGACCGTGCCGGCTGGCACCTGTGCCAGCAATCGGGCGCTCATGCAGAGAGCGTCTCTAGTCCGTGTATAAGATGGTCTTGCAGACGGCCACGTGCCCACGCCCCACTGAGTGGACGGGTCGCTGTCCAGTGACCTCCCAGCCCGCATCCCCTCAAGTGGAGAGCAGCAGCGGACGGTGCCAGCTCACCGCTCCTTTTGATAGTAAAATGGCGTTGCAGATAGTTCCAGCCACGCCCCACAGCCGGTGCATAAAGTGGCCTTGCAGATCGCGGGCTGCCAGCCTGACCCCAAGCTCCCCCAGCATCCGGGCAGCACAGGAGTGCTGGCAGCCAGCGCTCATCTTACTAAGGAAAAGTGGGTCCCTCGCGACTGCCGCCTGGGTTCCTGGCTCCGGGCAAACCATCCCTGTCGCCCCTCTCTGGCCTTTAGGGAGAAGACAGATGACACCTCTGGGGAGGACAACGATGAGAAGGAGGCAGTGGCCGCCAAAGGCCGCAAAACTGCCAACAGCCAGGGGCGACGCAAAGGCCGCATCACCCGCTCCATGGCTAACGAGGCCAGCAGCGAGGAGGCCGTGCCCCCGCAGCAGAGTGCTGAGCTGGGTGAGCGGGGCCAGGGAAGGGCGCCAGGGTTCTGCCTGTGAGCTTGCTGCGTGACCTGGGGCGAGTTCCTTAACCTCTCTGTGCCTCAGTGTCCTCATTGGCACGGTGGTTGCTCATAACCACTGGGTGGGCGTTTTACTGGTTTTGTGTGGGAGGACCTAGAACCGTGCCTGGGACGTGGGACAGGTGGGTGCTGTCAGCATTATTCCATGCGAAAATCCAGGTTGCCAGTTTTGGTTTTGTTTTTAAATCAGAGCTGGTTGCCCTTGGCCCGCATTTGCACCGCATTTGTTGGAGCTGATAGCCGCCTCCCCCTTCAGAAGGACCTGTCCCCACCCTGCCCGCCCCCAGCCCTGAGAGGCGCCTGGTTCGTGCCTTCACTTCCATGGGCCTCAGTTTCTCCTTCTGCTCTGCAGGCATCCATCCCAGCAGCTCTGAGCCCCCCTCCTACCCAAAGGGGAAAAAGAGAAGAACTGAGTTGCAGTTCCCGAGTTCAGCCACGGCGGGGCAGCGATGTGTGCCCCTTGTTGTGCTGTTTTGGCTGCTTGGGGCCCGGCCTGCCCCTCTGGGGGGCCCCACACCCAGGTCCCCGGCCAGGACACCATCCCAGGGCGCGAGCTGATGAGGCGATGTTCCATTCCCCACCCACATCCCTCCCCCGCACCCAGGCAGCCGTCCCTTCTCCCAGGAATTTGTACCCATTTCGTAGATGAGTCGTGTGAGGCTTAGAGAAGGGGCGTTGCCCCCGGAAAGTCGTGAGTTAGTGGGGATGCAAGCCCAGACCCGTCGGCCGCACACCCTGTGTGGCTCCCATGGGCTTTTGTTGGCCGCCCCTTGGTGCCGGTATGCCCGGAGGCCCAGGCAACGGGGCTCCCCTCGGAAGTACTCTGGTGCCAACTCTGGGAGTTCCTCTGGACCCCAGGTCGATGTTGGGGCTGGACTGTGGGGTGGAAAACACAACCCTGGGCCCCCAACGGGCTATTTCAGCCCCGCTACCCCACGCTCAGACTTCCACAGCGCCCCTGGGGGTCCCATGGGTAGGAAGGGGAAAGCTGGTGAGATCCCACAGACGGGCGGGCTGTGGCAGAGGGAGGGGGAGGCCCCCCTGGGGATGGGGCTTCTTCCCTCTCCTGAGCTACTCCCTCATATTTTCCTGCCAGACCCTTCCTCCACTGGTCAGCCAGCCTTTGTCGAGTGCATACTCTGTGCTCAGCGCTGTTCCAGCCTCTGAGTCTGTGAAGCTGGTCCCTCCTGTCTGCCCCGTCACGAGGTCTTAAGCAATTTGCAGGAAAGACCAAGGCTCACGTCCAGGGGGACTCGGGAGAAACTCAGGAACTGGGCCGCAGCAGAGATAGCCAGTCCTGCCCAGCGCAGGCCGGCCATGTCCCTCATGTCTCCCGTGCCAGTGGAGCTGGGGAGGGTCTAATAGTCACTTGTATGGCAGGGTCTCAGTCGGGGCATTGTAACCCCCAGGGGACAGTGGCCGTGTCTGGAAACACGTTTACTTGTCACAGCTGGATGGGGGCTGCTGGCATTTGTGGGTAGAAACCAGAGATGCTGCTGAACGCACTGCGTCCCCTGCAGCGGGGTCGTCCTGCCCCCGTGTCCACGCTTACTCGAGGTCCCTGCCCGTCTGAGCTCATGCCCCTGTCCCCCCACCGCATGGTCACTGCACTCCAGGTGGCTCCCCCTTCCCAGCCGAGTGCACACAGAGGCAGCTCCGACAGTCTGGGCCCCGGACCGCCTCAGTTTCCCCGCCTGGAAATTGGGGTGACTGCACGTCCCCCACCCCCGTGGGCCATGTGGAGCTGGACCTGGTGTGAGACCAGCTCACTGTGGTGCCCGTGCGGCCAGAGACCCCGCAGACGCCCGTTTCCAGCTGTCACCAACGCTCTGCATCTTCCTTCGCAGCCTCAATGGAGATGAACGAGAGCTCTCGCTGGACTGAAGAAGAGATGGAAACAGCCAAGAAAGGTGAGGGCTCCTGGTGGCCCCGGCCGCCCTCGGTGTGCATTGGGCCCCAGAGCGCGGTGGGAGCTGCTACACGGGTCCTGGTGCGGTCTGGGGGGGCTCTGCTCCTGGGCTGTTCTCGGGTTGGTCTTCTCCTCGGAGCCTCCATTTTGCCCTCCGGAAAATGGGTCTGTGTGGCATGTCTTCAGGCTCCAGTGTCCCCAGGGTGATGTCCGGGCTCGGCTCAGACTCTCTCAGCTCATGCTGCACCCTTGGTCGGCCAGTGGATGGCTTCGTGACCCCCGGCCTTGTAGACAGAGCAGCAGCAGCGCCCCTGGGTGCCTGGCAGAGGTGCAGAGCCTGCTGTGGCCACTGCGGTGGGGTCACGGGGTCAAGCTGTGCCCCCTCTGCTGCGCCGTCTCCCGGGAGGCAGGGCTGGTGTGGCTGGTGGCCATGTGCTGTGGTGTTGACCCCACGTCCTTCCTCAGAAGCCACCAGTGTGTTCACTGCAGCCAGAATAGCTGAGTCTCTCACTTCCAGGCTCTGTGGCCTGTTTCTGTGCCTCAGTTTCCCCATCTGTGCTGTGGACCTGGCACGGTCAGCATCAGTGTGGATCCCCCTGACCCCTGGCTCTGGGAGCCCCTCCACCCGCCCCTCCAGCACCTGAGCCCCCGAGGGGCCGTCGACCAGCACAGCACGGACAGGGAGGCTGAGTCTGGGGTGGCACCCGACCCCCATTGACCTGCCCACTCTCGTTTATCTTGGCCGCAGCCCTGAGAGCTGGGTCTTGTTTCTGTCCCTGATTTACCAACGTGGAGGGGGCAGCAGGGGCCGAGGGCTTCCCGAGGCCTGGGAGCTGCCGCATGGGGCCTGGGAGCGAGCCCCGGCCTCCCAGCGCTTGTCCCCGTGGCCCCGCCGCTGATGTGCAGCCTCTTTGTGCCCGGAGCTCCAGGTCATGACTCGAGAGGGAACAACAGCCTTTGTAGCGAGGGCTCGGGCCCTCGGGGGCAGGCTGTGTGAGGACAGTCCGGCCGGAGGCTGGACCCCGGCCGAGGGCCGTCTGCCCGCCCCACCCTTCCCCTGGGGAGGGGATGCCGGGGGGCCTCAGCTTCTGGCCCTGGGTTTTGGAAACCGACCAGGAGCCATCCCAGACCTGAGCAGGCCCCCACCCGGGACCCCGGCCCACCCCCGAGGCTCGGACCTCCCTCTGAGCTGCCGGCCCTCAGGTGAGGTGGGGCTGGAGGAGGTGCTGGTGGGACCCTCAGCATGGTTGGGAAGGCGAGGAGCCGCCCACCTTGTCCCACGGGCCTGGGTCCTGTGTCAGCTGATAAAGCAGAGCCGATGGGGGCCTGTGGGCATCGGCTCTGGCTGGCAGGGCTCTGGGGGTGCTGTCATGAGGGGCCACATGGCTGATTTTCTCTGTCTTCCACATCTGCTTTCGTGGTTTCTAGATTGCGTTTTGCTGTGGGGTGCAAAAGAGGCCTTATGGGAATTGTGTGGTATTTCCCCTCTTTTGTTTAATTTTGGTAAAATCCACATAACATAAAACTTATCATTTTGACCATTTAAAAGTGAATAATTCTGTGGCATTTAGTACGTTCACAGTGTTGTGCAACCACCCCCACTATCTAGTTCCAGAACATTCTCATTGCCTCACACGGAACCCGTGTACCCGTCAGCAGTCACTCCCCACCCCCAAGCCCGCCAGCCTCTAGCGCCCCGATCTGCGTTGTGTCTCCGTGCGTCTTGCCTGTTCTAGAGTTCTCCACGAGTGGAGTCACAAGGATGTACCCGTTTGTGTCTGGCTTCTCTCGCTTGGCATTGTGTTTTCGGGGGTGTCCGCGCCGCAGCAGGGGTCAGCGCCTCGTTCCCATTTGTGGCGAGTCGTGTTCCCCAGTGTGGACGTGCCACAATCTGCTTCTGCGTCGTCTGTGGCTTGGTGGACGGGGGCTGGTTTTCACCTTCTGGCTGTTGTGAGTAGAGCCGCCGTGAACGCTTGTGTAAATTGCACGGGTGTTGTGACCGCACATGAGGCCCGGGGCCTCGGCCTTCGGCAGCGCTGCTGCACGGGCACCCACCCACGGGAGAGCGAGGGGGTCCACGCGCACGCCCCGGGACGGCCGGGCTGTGCTCCATGGCCTCTCGCTCCCCCGGATGTGTCTTCTCGTGTGGAGCCCCCTCCCTGGGAACAGGTTGTTGGCGGAGTTGGCGGCTGCCCTCTCCGTCTGGGAAGGTCGGCCTGGGCTGACTCATCCCCGAGACGGGAGTGTGCCCGCCATCTCAAGGTTAGGTCCTCGGCAGCACCAGTGAGCTCATCCTGGGTCCTGCCCATGGGGACGGCAGCACGAGAGTCCCCTGGGGACGAGCACGCCGAGGTCCTGCTCAGTGACATTTGTGATAATGGGATGAGCGCCCGCGCACTCGCCCGTCGTGAATTACAGCAATCTGGACAATTACCACTCAGGGTGGTTGCTGACGGCTGTGTGTTCCAGGTGGTGGTGGGGGGTGCGGGGGGCGGGCAGGCAGGTGCTGTCAGCCCCAGCGGGCCAGGGGCGGGGGCCTAGGGCTGGTGTGGTGCCCTCTGCGCAGCTCTCAGAAACCCAGGAAGGGACCCAGGGACCAGCTGTGCCCGAGACAGGTGGCATTCGCCATCCTTCTGCCTGTCACTTAAATTGACTCAGTGCCTCACCCCGTGCAGAGCAGGGGGACTCGGAGAGGAGCCAGCTCTCACGGAGCCCGGGGAGGTGAGCGGCCAGGTGTCCCTGGGACCCTGGGGTACTGGGCGTCCCGGAACATCCTGGAAGACTTCCAGCAGCCTGGCCTTGGAGGATGAGCTGCAGAGGGTCCCCCATCCCCAGAGAGAAGCCAGACCTCAGCCTCTGGACCTGTCAGCTCTGTGACCTCAGGAAAGTCAGTCAACCTCTCTGTGCCTCAGTTTCCTCATCTGTACAGTGGGAACGAGATATCACCCACTGTGGGTTCCTGGGGCCACGGTAATGGAGTACAGACTTAGGCACCTGAAGAACAACAGGACGTCTTCTCTCTCTGCTCTGGAGGCTGCAAGTCCAAAATCAAGGAGTCGGCAGGGCCGCGCTCCACCATAAGCCCTGGGGCGGGTCCTGCCCGGCCTCCTCCGCCTCTGGGGTGGCCAGCCGTCCTTGGCTCGTAGACATGTCTCCATCTCTGCCTCCGTCTCCACGTGGCCTTCTTCCCTCTGCGCCTCTCCATCCAGATTCCCCTCTTCTAGAAGGATCCGCCCTGATCCAGTGTGACCTCATCCTGACTGGATCACATCTGTGAAGACTGTTTCCCAGCAAGGTCACCTTCACTGGTTGCAGGTGGACAGGAAATTTGGGGGGACCCTCCTCACCCCAGCGCAGCCCCCTTTGTGAGTTTCTGGAGAAAGAGAACAGAAGAGCTGAAGGCGCCGATGGCCTGGCCTCTGCAGCCCCGTCACCGTCCGTAACTGCAGCTCACTCCTTGGCTGGGGGCCCGGGCCCGTCCCCGTCTCAGCCTCCTTTTCCCTAAAATGCAGCTGGGATGCCGTCCCCCGGGCAGGGGCCTGGTGAGGTGGCGTGAGCCACGTGTGACAGTCGTTCGTATACAGTAGGCGCCTAGAAGTGGCAGGCCCGCGGTTCCTCAGTCTCCCTGTGTGGGTCCTGCCTCTGCCCCTGCGGGCGACCCTGGAGGCAGTGGCCACACCTCTCAGAAGGAGCTGGAGGCGAGCAACCCGCTAAGCAGAGGTCAGATGACCCCTGGGGAGGCTCCGTGGCGCTGGGGCTCCACGGCCAGAGGGCACCCCGAGGAAGGGCCCTTGGGCTGACCCCCAGAGCACGACATCACAACAAGGCATGCTGAGCGACAGTCTAGTCCTCTCAGTGCTCCTGGGTGCTGAAACCGCTAGGGCTCCGTGTGTGTAACTTCATCCCCACCAACCTTAGGAGGCAGCTGCTGTTGTTAGTTTCTTTATCCTGATGAGGACACCGAGGCCCAGAGAGGTTAAGTGAGCTGCCCAAGGTCACATAGCTGTTAATTGATGGAACTGGGATTTGAACCCAGGCCCTCAAGTTACAGAGTGGGAATGCGGCTTGTGTGAAGTTTGAATGTGTCAGACCACAGGCCTGGCTGCTATTAGTCAGAGCATGCTGGAGGGAAGAGCATCCCAGCAGAGAAAACAGCAGGTGCAAAGTCCCTGTGGCAGGGTCACTGGGTCGAGTAGGAGCTGTTGAAACCTGGAGAGTGACGGGAAGAGAGGCACGGGATGGAGAAGCCCGTGGGACCGTGGCCTTAACAGCTGTGGGCTGGAGTTTGGCTCTCCTTCTCAGAGCAGTGAGAGGGATGTTGCGTGGGGAGGGCGTGGGACAGGATACATGATAGCTGCAGGGTTCCAGGTGGACAAGTGGGTGCCTCCCCTTCTTGTGTGCATGGAGTCGGGGCTGCCTGCCCGGGGCTCATGCTGACTGGGGACTGAGCATGAGCGGGAAGCAGCCTCCCCAGGACTGAGGCCTCCCCAGGGAGCTGGCAGCTGGCCCTAGGGCCCGGCGCCATGCTGGCAGGAGGGCCAGTCCAGGCGCTGGGCTGGGCTGTGAGGCTCTGGTTCCCCTGGGAAAGGTCAGCCTGGCCTGGCGCGGAGTCTTGACCCAGCTGTGCGGGAGGCCCAGGGCTCTGCTGGCGGCTCCTCCCTGCCCGCCTCCCCCGTGGGCAGGGCTCCAGCTGCAGAGGGCGGGGGAGCCCCCGGTCACACCATTCCAGACCAGGAATAGGCACTGGCCCAGCTCCGTGCTGCCAGCCCCTCCCTGGCCTAGAGTGGCCTGCCTGGCAAGGAGAGCGGGGGCAAGGTGCGTGGCCTGGGGGAGGCTGCTGCAGGGCCAGGCCCGGGGGTCCCCGAGCAAGCCCCTCCAGGCTGGATGGAGCCTGGGCGGACCCCAGCCCTCTCCCCCACCACTCCCCCGGCTCTGCCTGCAGGTCTCGCCCCTTTCACGGAGAGTGAAGGAGAAACCACTAATTGCTTTGCACCTCCGGAG